TCCTGGTTCCCCCGGGATTCCAAACCAGAACCCTCTGGTCCTGGTTCTCCCGGGGACTCCAACCCAGAACCCTCTGGTCCTGGTTCCCCCGGGGACTCCAACCCAGAACCCTTTGGTCCTGGTTCCCCCGGGGACTCCAACCCAGAACCCTCTGGTCCTGGTTCCCCCGGGAACTCCAACCCAGAACCCTCTGGTCCTGGTTCCCCCGGGAACTCCAACCCAGAACCCTCTGGTCCTGGTTCCCCCGGGGACTCCAACCCAGAACCCTCTAGCTGTGAGGCGATGGTGCTAACCACCACACCACCGTGCCCCCCCTTGGGCAGAATCAACATGGTCTTAACACAGTGCCACGAAGACAGACACAGGCCAAATAAACCAAGACGTCGGTCAAAATGAAGGAGGCGGCAAAACATCTTTTTTTAAAAACTTTTTTTATAGCATAACAAGTTCAAGCAACAAGTAGAAGTTCACTGTTTGTGCTAAAGATTAAAAAGGCTGTTTCCACTTCCGTAAAAGCGATGGTGCTTGAGTTAAAGGTTGATGAGCTTTGGTGAACCGAGGGCTGCGACGGGTTGAGGATGTTGGCAAAACCGGCGAGCTCTTCCCAACCGTCCTCTAGTCAGAGTCACTGCTGCAGGAGCTGCTGGAGGACTGAGGAAACCAGAAGAGAACGTTCACTTACTCACACCCGTCAAACTCATTTTCACTCATTACTTTGATTTTGAGATCCGAGAAAAAAATAATTCAATTCAATTCAATTAAATTTTATTTATATAGCGCCACATCACAACAACAGTTGTCTCACAGCGCTTTCCAAACAGAGCAGGTCAGACCCTACTCTGAAGATAATTACAGAAACCCAACAATTCCCACCATGAGCAAGCACTAGGCGACACAGGCAAGGAAAAACTTCTTTCAATAGCATTATGCCGTCCTGAGGTAATGACAGCTTATCTCCAAAACACATGAAAGACATCATCAAACAAATGAATCGTACTATAGAAAGAATCCCTCTTTGGTCTCTTACCCCGTGGCAGTCTTTCCCCTTTTTGTGACATTTGCCATGCTTGTGGCCACGCTTGTGCTTATGCTTGCGCCTCCATCCATGGCCATGTCCGTGACCATGCCCATGACCATGCCCCTGACCACCACATTGCCCATGGCCATGCCCCTGACCACCACATTGCCCATGGCCATGCCCATGACCACCACCATGCCCATGACCATGTCCCTGACAACCACATTGGCCATGGCCACATCCCTGACCACCACAACAGCCCTGTTGCTGGCCACCACAATGTCCGTGGCCTTGTCCATGTCCGTGTCCATGGCCATGTCCGTGGCCATGTCCGTGACCATGTCCGGGGCCATGTCCAGGGCCATGTCCAGGGCCCGGTCCTTGGCCATGGCATCCTTGAAAACAACATTTGAAATGTAGATAAACAACGATCCTGCAGGATCTGGTCAATAAAAGTGGAAAAAATACAAACAAAATTCGTGACTCACCACGCTGATAACGATCCATCTCAAAACTCCTATTAAATTCAGAAGTATTCAAATCAGAGGACTTTCAGCAGAGCTTTGCAGACGCTAACGTCCGGACTGCTTTGCAGGACTGGCATTTTATTCGATTTGATGCAAAGCCCCACCTGCATTCTGGGAAACTCCCCCTCACATCATTTTTTACCTGACCGCCCTTCAAAAATATTTGCTCAGAGATGTCAAACTATGCGTGTTTAGAATTCTTCCCATGATGAAATCTTCAATCGGCAGCCGTTGGTTTTCTTAACCTCTGTACAGCCTGATGGACAAAACTGTTTGTTGGTTTAACTAGTCAAAGGGTGGATTGATTTCTGACAACAAAACCGGTATTTCTTACTTTTTGTGGCCTTCCAGGATCATGTCCAAGGCAAAGTTCAAATCATTTTTAAACTTATTTTGTAGTCATCAGCCTCCTAAAGATCAGTATTGTGTTCCTGAAAAATCACACAGGTTTATCGCTTCCAAAAATCCATATGAAAGGTGGAATATGGCTAGTATAACTACCAAGATCATATTTATCTTACGCACACTTTACTTGTATACAAATATAAAAGTATACTTAGCCACATTGTAGCATTTTGATTAAAAAAAGTAAAAAAATGTTGTCCTTGTGATGCTGACTCAGCATGGAAAGGTAAATCCTATTGGTGCTTATATCATCCTGAAACACGCCAATAAATCTAAACATCCTGCGTTTAAGATTTAAAGAAAAGCCATGAGCTCCCCTGGAGTCTTTCAAACCTGTGTACACTCGTGTGTAGATTTACAGATGTGTTTACACCAGTGTTTTTTTTTTTTTTTTGGTGCAGTCCTTAGGGAACAATGAGCTCCATATTTGAGACGTTTCCATTTTACATACTCTAAAAATTAAATGGATTTTCTCAAAAGCTTGCTTTTGACAAGATCAACAAAAGCCTGTCGAGGGCCCCACAATTTGAGTCAGGTGTGTAAAAGCAGAGAAACATCCAACAGATGCTGGACTCACAAAGACTGGAGTTCGATAACCCTGGATTATGCTTTGGCTCGAAATATTAGCCTATAAATTACAGTTGAAAATACACCTGTCTTTTGAGGGTGATGAACTTCATTCAACCTTTTTTTACCAGCACCTGGTCATACGCCAAACTTGGAACAAACAAAAGAAAAACGGAAATTCTGGCTCAGCCAGTTGATTCTGATATCTGATTTCAACCTAAAAGATCTTATTACCTCTAATACTAATATGTTTCTGCACCACAGCGACATTAGATAACATTCTTATTTCATGCATGTACTGGAATCAAATTTAAATACTCTGACATGTTAACATTTCCAAAAGGAATATGTTAAAAAACTCACATTTCAATAAAAAAAAATCAAATAATCACCCCTCCCCACACCATGTACCAAACCTGAAAAATGTAGGTGTGTCAGAAACAATGCAGGCTGTCAAAGTGCTAGAAAGGTGTTATTTATTTTTCTCTTTCAAATGAAGATGAATGGAACTGACAGTAACAGAGGAATGTTCCTGCTGTTGGGGAATAAGATTACAGCATGCCTTCCATATCTCCATCTCTGTACAGACTTAAAAAAAGACAAACGGCTGAATCTGCAGCAAGCTGGAAAACAAACAGGACAAAATAATGAAAACTCATCAACTGAAAACTACCTCAGACTGACACAGGAAAAAATCACTGTATACTTTTTAGGTGGAGAGTTTCTCGGTAGCAGATTAAATGTAAAACAGCGTAAATGAATTTGGGATCGGGAGTACACGCGGAAGATTCAGTTCTTCACATTTTCTGTAAAATGATGAAATGAGCAGGAAAATAATGTGAATCACTCTCGTGAACTCATCTTTCACCGGAATGTTTCACAACACAGCGTGTGGGAGTGAGCTTCTTAGGGACAAGAAAGTAACTTCTTGTTTCTATGAGTAGGCCAATTAACCTAAACGTAGTCTTAGGTATACAGTTTCTACTGAGCAAAGGATGGGAAATGACTTATACAAAATGGAACACTCCTAACTCTGTTGATACTGATGAACCAACTCTGTGTAAGTCTTCAAAAATATTGACCAAAGAGTAAAACAGCATCTCTGAAAGAGAGAGAGTTGAGTGAAAACAAGCAGACGTCAGGACCGGAGCCTTTTCTCCGGATGGAGGATATCAGGTCGCACTTTGCACCGACATGTGAACGGGGAAGTTTACAAGGCACGGGAGCTCCCGTTTATGTGTTTGTTGTTGTGGATATGCAGTAAGTCAGTGACCAGTTAAAGGGCGGTCACTGTGGTTACTGGGATCGAAAGCAGGCCCACTAGGAATGATCAGAAATGATTAAGGCCAAATGAAAAGTATACTTTATTATTAAAATACTTTATTACTAAACATAGAGTTCTGTGCTTGGACCAAATCATTTAAACCTTTGACATGCTTCTTTGGGAATAAAATATGTTTAATCCATTGCTCTAGAGATGATTCTTTGTTAGATTTGATCTTCATACTTTCAACCCGAGCACTTACCTGTTCTGAAACAGGCCAGGTGGGGTGTTGTGGGGGAAAGCTACATAGAAAAAAAGTACTGTAGATGGAATACTTTAACGTAGATACAATGTTTTAATTGTTTCAGAAGCCAAATCAAGGCCCAAATGGCTCTCAAAGACCTGAGCACTTTGGGAAATCACTGTCTGGCTGCAAAAACTACTTAAAATAATCAGTTTTTTCTTTTTCACTTACATGCAAAATAGGTTTCTAGGCTCACCTTCTTCCACCTTTGATGCAATGATCCAGTGTATTGTTAAAATCAAGATCGAACAGTAATGTACCATGAACCGAAATGCTTTCTTTATTTGGTTGTTCCAAAAATGCCATGAAAAAAATGCCTGTGATCCAGAATATTGTAGCAAAGGTTCTGATGAAAACCAGCAGTGAGGACAGATTTTCCTCAATTTGGCTTCCTGTTAAGTCTAAAATAAGATAGAATTAACTTTGTTTTCCTAAAAAAAAGAAAAGCTTTCAGGATCCATCCAGCTCCATCACGTATTGTGTATTTCACTGTTTATTTTGAGTCTACAGCTTTACCTGAGGTTACTAAATTTTCTAGAAATACAGCCTTTATTTCTTATTCCTGAAGTGCAAAAGGAGCTGCCATAACACACCCGTCTGCACTCTGCTCGCTTCACTTTCAGGGACAGATAAAATGATTGTAAAGATACTCCGGATAAGCATTGTGCACTCACAATTCAACCGTCTGATAATTCCACAGCATGTAATGCTGGTGCCCTCGTGTGGTTCAGATTTATGCCAAAAAACATTTAATCAAGAGGATCACGGCAGGCCAAAAAGATCAATCACAGCAACAAAGAGTGAGCAATATGTTTAACATTAGGTTGAATTTATTTTAATGAGAGAATTTAAAAAATAATTACACCAAAGAAACCGTTAAGAACACAAATGACAGAAAATTGACACAAACACTTTCAGATGTGATAGAATTTTATCATCCAGCAGCAAAACTTTAAACATTTTCTGTGAAATGTGATTGTAATCATGACAGTTTTAAAATGCACAATTTAGGGATAAATTCTGAAAATATTCCATATAGATCTATAAACTGTACACTTGAGATTAAAGAAATAAAAAGCGAGCCTCAAATCATGACTTTACGGGGTCTTTTAAATGACAGTTCACCTAGATAAAAAGATATTCTGTTAAGATCACTAAAAAGATCTTAAAATAACTTCTTTAATGTGATGAAGTGTACTATTTAATGTGAGTCCTCTCATCCTGAGGTGTTTTCTGCTCGGCTGGCTGCTCCGCTTCTCTTCCCGGCCAGTGGACTGCCCGGGTAGAGCCGGGAGAAGCGTCCGAGGGTCCAGACAGGAAAGAGGTTTCTGTAGGAGGTGTAGCTGATGGCGCAGCTCTTGTTGAACACGCCCGCAATGTTTTCCTGGAGACACACGTAAAGGCTTCAGTCGTGTATCGTAGTCGGGGATTAAAAAGGCCGTGTCTTGGATTGTCCACAAGGAACAGTGTCCTTTTTGCAGACCTAACAGCTGGTCATATGGTCTTGTTGTCTTTCTTTCTCCTTCTTTTTTTTATTTTATTTTATTTTTTCTCTCTCCCCCCTCTCTCCCTTTCTAAAGGATCTCTCTCCTTTCCACTACCCTTCCCTCCCCCCTGTCCCTCTGTCAGGTTCAGTATTATTGGACATATGGAAGTTTGGTAACAAAAATGAATAAATAAAGAAGTTTTGGGTAATCAAGGGGGGCTTCTCACTAACAAAGCCTCCCTTGGCAAAGCAATTTTGTTCAGCATAGCACGGTACGCAGATTTCAGTTCAACTACCATAATGCTGAACAGGACAAGGTAAAAAAAAAATAAAAAAAAAAGGCCGTGTCTTAATCTACCGTTTGGAGCATGGAAACTCAGGAATGGTCGTGGTTTGTGTGTTTGTTGTCACCTGTGGCCAGTCTCCGTTGGGCAGCTGCTTATCGAGCAACAACCGAATGCCTCTTTCTATGGCCTGCCTGTTTGGGTGCCTGCTCATAAAAACGAGAGATTTGGTTGGGGTGAAGCTGGTTTGAATGTTTGGTTTGGTTTGGTTTGGTTTGTGTTCTTTACCTGACGGCCATGAGTCCTAACAAAGCCCAGCAGGTGTTGTGGATCTGGGCGGCGTTGCTCTGGATGTAGCGCCGCTCCTCACACGATTTAAAGTCCTCCCCCCACCCTCCGTCGGGCATCTGCCGCTCCAGCAGGAACTCACAAGCTATCTGCACCTCTTCGCAAGCGTCTCTGGAGATAAACATAAAAAAAAAAAAAATGTAAGTCCTGCTCCGGTCAGCAAGTTTCGGACATTCCCTTTGTCCTACTTACTCGTTCTCGTAGACGTGACCCATGCAAGAAAAAGCCTCGAGGCCGAACCAGGTTCCGTATGTGAAACACACCCCCCAGGACCTGTCCACAGGCCAAAACAGACCGCGGGTGACCTTTCGGATCTACGTCGGCTGGTAAAACCACCAGGTCTGGACTCACCCCTCCCAGGATCCATCAGACCTCTGAGCTCTCCTGCAGTACTCCAGTCCATTCCTTAGAGTTGACCTAAAGAGGAAACAGATCACTTTCTCTTAAACCATAATGAGATATTAGAAAGGATACATCTAAAAATTCCAGTGCCATTTTATAACCTCAGAGAATGTGTGTCGTGTACCTTATTTCCTCGGTGCGATGGTCAGGGTGGGCTTTCTGGAAGTGCCTCAGAGCCTGGATCACTGCTGATGTACACTCCACATAGGTGTAGTCTATCATAATGTCACCTGTGGCAGACAGAGTCCCAGAAAGACATACAAACCATCCATTTTACAACACACTGCGTTATGTCTTAAGGGCCAGCAGAGCCACCGTAATCAGTAAAAACGGCGTGTTTTTAAATTCCTGCCCTTGGTTTCAAATAATACTGACAGTGTCTGAGCTAATCTGCATAGACCAGGCACTCGACTCACCGAACACCTCAGAGGGGTTGAGCAGCTCTAAGAGTCTTCCTCCCCTCTTAGTTTCGTAGGTGGCGAATCCACCGTCGGGGTTCCGCATGCTTAGCAGCTGCAAAGCGACACGGTTAAAAAGTTTGAAAGGAAAAAACAACCATGGACTTATAAACGGTAAGTGAAGCGGTGAGTCCTGTGTGCGCTTCTGAGCAAAAATAAAATAAAAAAAAACATATAAAAGTCTACCAAAAACATTAATGTACCATTTGTTTATTGATTTTAACCTTTAAAAAAGGAGCCTGTATCAAATACAGATGTATGCAGAGGTGTGATGGAATTTGTTTGCCAGGTGTTGTGGCGGTTAGGATTTTGCTCTTTTTTTCTTTGAAAATCCTTTTTTTCCGGTGGGTAAAAAACTCTGGGTCCTTTTTTCCCGTGGACTCACCACGTTGACGGCGTCGTACAGACGCTCCGAGGCTATGGGCTCCCCGGCGGGGGGGCACAGCTCCTGCAGCAGCATCAGCGTTTTCAGGCCCTCGGCCGTGCAGTCGGCCACGATCCAGCCGCAGTCCCGGGTACTGAAGGGGAAGCCTCCCTAACAAAGACACGTCCCAAATACCATAAAACATATAGCAGAACATTCTAAGTACACATATTCATTCTAACAGCAACACACTGACATTAAATCTTAGCGCGATGCCATATTTGGCTGTACCTTGTTCATCTGTCTGTAGTATTTCTGGTAATCAGGAGGATTCTCAGGTATCTGGAGGAAAAGCAGGATTCTTAATCCCATGTCGACTGATTTAGAGCTTCGGCACGTGTTTTCTGATGCCGTTAACAGAGTGCTACGTCTACAACACAGAGCAGGTTTTGGAAGATGGCTTCCTCTGGTTGGAGAGGTTGGCTGTACCTGTGTGATGGTGAGAAAGCGGCGGGCCTTGTGAAGACACTCGGTCAGTCTGGGCTCATTTTGGGCTCCTGCCTGAGTGGAGCCAAACAATCACGTCCCTCAAAAAAGTGTTCCGGGCTTTTCTCAGTTTGCACAATGTGTCCTCGATGAAATGCAATGGAAAACACTTCAAGCTTGGAAAAGCCGGTATTAAGTTACCTCAAGAAAAGCTTGGACAGCAAAACAAGTATCCCAGAGCTGAGAGCCATTCGTTCCCTGTGGAGGAAAAAAGATGACATGGAAACTCATGGCACGTGGCAAAAATATAAAATCACCAAGTTGCATGTAAAGGTATCACCAACGGGTGTAAAATTAAACTTCCTAAACTCCTTTTGGGTCCTTCTGAAACAGTCGCTCTCACCTGCATTTTCATTCCGTCCAATCCCAACCTGGAAAATCAAGAAAAACTATTTTAGTGGGTTTTCTCATCTCTTCCTAGGTGATTAATAGTGATGGGATATCAGTCGCAGACTGGCTGCCTGACCAGAGGTAGTCGGGGATCCTGGACACGTGCTCCTGGAAGGCCGGGGACGAGGGGCCATCCACAAACCATCGGACCAGCATGTTGATGGTCTTGGAGATCTGTGGGAGAACAGCCAAAACTTTCCCGTCAAACCGTTTAGGTCTTTTGTGTTCTCTGAGATAGCGACTGGACACTGTGGGAGCTTCTTACTGGCCCGATGCTGATGCACTTGGTGAAGCGGTCATCAGCCTGGATGTGCTCGTACAGCTCTTCGACGGCTTTTTCCCGGAGCGCAGAGCTGTGGTGGGCTTCGTACATATTCAGTATCACTGAGGGGGGACGGAAACACCAAGTTAGAGGGACGGCTTTGTGATGTGGCTTGAGGCAGGAAGCGGTAAAAAAGGTATCAGAATAGCCGTGAATCCCTGTGGGGACTGCGTGATGCGTTCACGTACTGTAGGCCACAGTGAGCAGGGTGCTGTGCGGTGTGTAAATGTCACATTCGGCCACATTGTTCCTCTGAGCAGGCCAGTTGATGGTGGCGTAGTCCTGAATATACAGCTCCTAAATAGAAAAAAGAAAATCTAATGAGCCGTGCAAACTTTGATGTCAAGTATTTCATTGACTTTCTAAAGAAACAAACAGCAAACAAAAAGACTCCAGCATTAATATGTAGTATGCATATGGAGTAAGGCCAGTCTCAGAGGATATTTCCCTAATTTCGACTAGTAAACTATGATCCCTGTATAAGCCGGCGAGCCGTGCTGACTCAGCAGCTGGGAACCTGGGGTTCCTGCCTTCTGCGGTGGGATCCATAAAGCTTTTCCTTTCTTAAAAACTAGCTCATATCTGTGCAACCACGCTTAAAGAAAATCATCCCCTCTACATTTAGGAGAGACATTATTCACAATGGACTAAGGACTCTGTTTCTTTTGGAATAAAGAAGCCTCCTGCCCTACGTCGTGCTCTAGGGACTAACTGTTTGTCCCAAACTCTTCTTAGTTGCCTCCACAGGAACTTTAGTATGTAGTAAGTTTTTTTTTAGAATTAATTTGAGACTCGTTCAGAGAACAAAAACAACTGGACTCCCATTCACATTATCTGGATGTGTTAGTCTGGTTTTATAAACCTGGTTTGTACCCTTTTGGTCACACCAACAGGTTAAAAATGCCATTGGTCAGTCAGTTTTAGGTAGACTTTACACAATTTGTGTCATAAAGTCCCCCTGGAGCTTTTGGACTATTGACTCCTGGTCTAAATAGAAGACAGGCCTCGTAGTGGTGTGTGGTGGTTTCAGCACCTGTCTGAGGCTGAGAACCAGAGAGTCTTCCTCAGCAGCCAGTCTGACGGCATAGCAGTAGCTCATGGGGAGGTAGACCTGCCGACAGTGACACCACAGGGTAGAGGGGTGGGCTGGCATCCAGGTGGGGAACAACCTGGAAAGACAAAAAAACATGTTAGCCGCTCAAAAATCTTCGTATTCCCCACTCTGTTCCAAGAAGCTGAAAGTTATTCTATACATTTAAAAGCAGTTTGGAGATGGTATACATGTGCTTATTAAAGCTAAACATTGTATTGCCATCTCATAGAAAGCTATGGAAGCACAGCTGTCAATGTTTGGTTCAAGACCCTGTCTAAACTCGAGCCATGGAAAAATTGACTTATGCTAAAAAAGGGGAAGCTACAAAGTTTCTACAAAGTTTGGGAACAATTTACAGACTTCTTGGAAAGCCAGCAAGATGTACAAGATGCATAGGCTGTATATTTCAACTTTCTGATTTTGTAATATAGATATTGTAAGAGGGTTTTTTTTCTTTCTCTTTCTCTCCTTATTTTTTCTTTCTTTCTTTTTCTTCAATGTTGTTTTGTTTCTGTTTTTTTATTTTAAAAAAGTATTTTCCTTCTATGTTGCTAAATATGTATTTTATGTTTATGTTGTTGTAAAAGTTTAAAAATGTAATAAATAAAATTTAAAATAAAATTCAAAAAAGCAGTTTGGAGGGAACAGTCGGAGGCTTTTTAGTGCTCACCACATCTCTGGTAGTAATGTGTTCATCCCCTCCCAGCTGTAGACGTTTAATATTGCCAACCAGAATTTACCCCAGGACGGAATCCCAACTGCACCACCTGTACCAAACCAACCACAAAAGGAGCTTTACTGTACTGTTAGCAAACTGCAGCCCCTGATCAGACAAAAGGAAGACACCTGAGGACAAATGTGAAAAGTGATTCCATTGAATGTAACTAAATGACAGAAATCAATGTAATGCAATCTTGACTGGGTGCCAAACTGGGGCTTTCCCCTCCAGCCTCATTGAATAATTTTATGACATCATTTATTGTAGAAGAAGATTTAAATCCCTCTAAGTATGTCTTTGGGGAGATATATCATACACTTAAATCTCTTGCGCAGTTGTCTTACCACATTTGGGGGGATTTTTTTCAGATTTCAACCCAAAAAAGGATGTGCGTACACAAAAAAACTATAGAAAATTGATAAAACAAAGCGTGAAAAATTATCAGGGTCCACTCTGTCTGCAATAACATGAGGGATTAAGGACATCTAAGAGCGGGTGTGACTAAATGTCCGTTCAGGCTGACCTTTGCTGTGAAGGTTGTTCCTGGCCTTCAGCATGTCTGGGTCATCGGGATCCACTCCAAGGATCCTCAGTGAAGTGTAGCTCAGTGCTGTGCCAAACACAGTGGACTTATCTTCAATATGTCTGCAGGGAAACCAGAGATAGACACATATTGGAGCCATGAACAATGTCCTAACAATTATTCATTCCTTTTTCAAAGATTACAGATGCTGGTAGGATTTTGGTGGAAAAAACCCACATTTGAAGTTCTAGAAGCTAAATAAAGGCCTGGTTTTTATTAGGAGACTTTATATATTATTTTTGTCTTTAGTTCTTAAACAAAAAGGTGATATGGTCGTTACTTCAATCTGGTTGTAAATCCCAGTTCTATGTCTCATTATTCAGTTATTACAATTATAAAACTTCAAATTAATTATAATAAAATGTATAATTATCTAAAGATGCATGTGGACTCGTCTACCCTGTAGAGATAGATAGATAGCACCCCTATCTAGGCTTTTAAAAGTAGTCTACTTTTGTTAGATGCATGGAAAAGATGCCTCACAGGAGAGCTGTTTCAGACATGAATGTATAAATAGATGAGTCATTCATTAATTTATTCTTTAAATTGATCAATTTACAGGAAAGATTTTGACTATCCCCCCTGAGAGTAAGACTGTTGACTTACAGGCCCCAGCCTCCATCGGGCAGCTGAACAGAGCGCAGGTACCTCACCATTTCCTTCTTCCAGGGCTCTGGCAAAGGGATCTTAGCCACGTGGCATGTGATAAGGAGACCTGGGAAATACAAACGGCAACAAAAAAAACACAAAAAAAGAGGAGATGTAAAAAGAAACCTGTTCATTGTCAGTCCAGGACAATGCAGACTTAATAGCACAGAGCAGCAAGGAAATTAATTAATTTTAAGGCAACGCACATTGAAGTTTATCGCATTTTTTGGTTGAATCAACTTACCCGGTAGCAGGAACAGAGGTCCGCCGTAGTCCCCTGCCCAGTGACCGTCCTCTGCCTGGAGGTGGCTGTAGAAGTGCATGCCCTTCAGGGCCGCCTCCAAAGCTGTGTGGGCAGCCGGGGAGTCCGAGACAAACTTCATCTGTGGAGGAAATGAGAAATAATGCAACTGCTCATCTCAGGAGTCTACCGTGCATTTCAGCTTTTCACTTGATGTGGTTTCAGTCACTCATTTCTCAGCATCTGATTTCATTTGGACATTAGGAACTCAGACTGAAACATGAAAAACTAAATAAATCTCAGACAGAATTGTAAAACATACTACCTTGAGACCTAAGAGCTAATTTTATTTTGAAAAAATTGGAAATGACTGAAGACCTACTGTGTCCAGTCCAAGAGAGTGGGCTTCCAGCATGGTTTGGTCCCTGGCTGGGGGGTCCAGATCCTCCACATAGTGCCAGGTTTGCCTGCCCTCCACGTTGGTCAGCCTCCAGCGGCTCAGGTCGGTGGCCGGCTCCGTCCTGTAGGGCCCCCCTCTCCGGCGAAGGTGCCTGCCGTTATATAGCACTTCGGTTCATGAATACAAACATGTTTACATGGTTTACAAAAACTGAGAGACATAGCTGTGCGTTAGTGTGGCTACTTCAGTAACCTGAAAGAATTATTTAAATACAATAAAGGCTCGCGCATAAGTAGGTTACAGTGTTTTCATTTAAGCTAGCTAGTTTTTTTTGTTGTTAATATACAAAAAAAATCAAATACGCACGTTCCCTCACTCATTGCAGCGTTGTCAACCCCCGAGCAGGATACTTTTAAAAAGCATGAATGAAACTCTTCACAACAGTTCTTAAAACTCCACCGCTTTTGCCTCCTCCGTGGGAACTGTAGTCCTGTGGGATAGTCTCCAGTAATGCTCATTCACGTCTCAAACAACATTTCCCAGGGGCCAATGCGGTGCGGTCAGACGCGTTCGTTCACATGGAGAGACATGAGCAGAGACTTGGCCGTCCAATCATGACAGCGTGGGGCGGGTCTACGGGTGAACGCTCTCCAATCAGATGGCTCTCATGACCAACATCACACATGTGCTCATCATAGCTCCAATCAAGCCCTCTGGATACCTGGAAACTGATGTCAAACAGAAAAGTCAACGCACATTATTATATTTAAGGACAGTTTTACATACACCAGAAAAATAAGTTCCTTATTTCAGTATGTATTCTATCTAATTATAATTCTTGTGTATTTGTAGACATTTAGATTTTTGTTTATAATCTATTCATTTTATCTATTTAAATGTCTTTAGATTGGCTGTTATATTTTTTAACCAAGTACCTGTTTCTATGCTCGATCTGATTGTCTGCACTTTCTCAATACAATATATAGTCATAAAAAATATCATTTGGATTGATGTGCAATGTACTTTACATGTCATATCATATATTCTGAGTACCTGCAAGACCCACCTGTGTGTGGACTGGAGCTGCTTCTAAAAAAATGTTTTTTTTTAAAGGAAAATCAAAACATTGACAGAAACTTGCAAAGTGTTTTCGCCGGAAACATTTTGAAATGCAGATATACCCAACCCTCATAGAATATACTTGTTTCCTATTTAATTAATTGTATAGCTCTTGTGTGTTGCAATTTATCTATCTAGCAATGTTTTCACTCACATTTCCCTAATGTCCCTGCTTACCTCATGTCTTCTACAGCTGTTACCATATTTGCCCCATTTGTGTCTGTGCTATATGTTCAATAAAGACAATAAAAACAGGTCAGACTCTTAGCATCATTAAATATAACACTTTTATTCATTATTATCCTAATTCATCAGTAAGAAGACAAAACCTTGAAATGCGAAGTCAATCTAACACATAAAAAATGTAAAATATATAAAAATGTACACTAAAAACGTATAAATCATGGAGAACACTTTATTTGACTCCTGCTAATTAAAGCCTTCACACACGATTGCGGCAAGAAGATTCTACTGCAGCAATACTGTAGAATAATGTCAAGCTTGTTTCCATGAATGTAACGTAACTGCAAAAAAACAAAAACAAACAAAAAAACCACGGTGATTTGTATATTTAAAGGATCTCCCAGCAGGATCTCGTCAGTCATCCACAATGTTCAGTAGACCGGTCAGCTTCAGTCTGCAGGACAGCTCCTCCTCCTGGCTCGCTAAAATCTGTTGCTGCAGGTCCTTCAGTCGCTGGGCCATAGACACAGGAGGGGGTCTGAGCCACGCTGCGGCTTCTGGCTGCTCATCGAGATCTGGCTTCTGGGAAGTTGAGAAAACGGTTATTTTTAGTTTCTGCTGATACGACAAACACATGCTGTAAAGCGTTGGATGTGATGTATATTTGATTATGTATACATTTACATGGATTTGCAAAACCTGCTATATTTACAATTTCTAGTATGAAGAGCATAGTTTTTTATCCTGCAGGAAACTAAGCTAGTTTTAGAGTTTTACCTGTGTGGTAGCAGTTTCTTGGCTTTTTTCTTTGGCCGCACCCTTTCTGGTTGTAGGCATGGACAGCAAGGTGGAGGATGGAATGAAGAGAGGTGTGGACAAGTGGTCTAAAGGGTCTCCGTCCAGCCAGCGCTGAAGCTGCTCCATACTCCTGTAGAGAGGGAGCGGGAAACGTGATGCTAGCACAGCATTCCGTATGCATTTAACTCAAACTGCCACCGGCGTGTCGCCACTATACCTCTGGCTTTCGGCCTTCTCTTCTCGTAGGCTCTGGAGGACTTTGAAGGCCTGCAGCTCTTGTGCTGTGGGAGTGTGTGAGATGTCTAGTGGGGCTGCCGGTGCCTCGACACACTCTTCCAGGCTGTGGAACAGCCTCTGCCTGACAGACAGACTGTCTGATGGGGCACAGGTAGCTGCACCTGCCCTGAGGATGGAGAAAAGGAGAAAAGGATTTAATTAGACTGTATTAACTGTTGGTTAAATAACAACAGCTTGTTCTTCACAAAATGATTAATTAAAACAGAAAAAGTCCCAGTGAAACGACTTGGAAGAAGCTCGTGAAAACATCTACAAGCCTGGGGAGGCGTTTTTGGGAGGGCCTTACTTCTGCTTCTCCTGCTGCTTCTCTCTGTGCGTTTGTCTGACCGCCTGTGTCCACTCGTCCGGCGGCTCGAAGCCGGTCAGGGACTCTGCGGGGAAGTAAACCAGGATCTCTCCGTCCTCTGTCACCGCATCTAAAACAACAGCACGGACATGTGAGTATCCTCTTCACGGTGAGGAGAGTTTAAATGACGAGCAGCAGGTTTTACAGAAACGAGCCTCACCCTGGCAGATGGCTGGTCCGGGTACCTGCCAGTCTTTCAGCTTGTGGTCTATACATATGACCACCACATCGTCCCATGGAATAAAGCTGAAGGCTCCTTCGCTAAGGTCTGTGACGGGGTCCCTGGTCCGGGGGCCGTGGGTTTGCTGGGCCTTCAGCCGGACCCTTTCCAGGAGGTTCTGGAGCCGTGACATCAGGACGGGCTGGTTGCTGCGTGAGGCGGGGATGGATGCGGCGTAGTGGAAGACAGACGAGTGGAGTTCCGGCCACGAGTCTGTCAAGAGACGCTGAGATATTCAATCGGGCTCCACCGGCGTTTGGATGCCCTCTCTAACTAAACTAAGCGGGGACAGACGACGCTCATTTTTCCAGGTCACCCACCTGATGACGGAGCCTCCCACTGTGGCAGCTGTAGGCTGAGAATAGCCTCGCGCAGCCAGGCCAGATGCTTGGCGGAGTTCCAGGACAGATGCGGCACGAACTCCCGCGTGTCGGGCAGAAAGAATTCCCCCGGCGGCCAGGAGAGGGCGCAGAGGTCCGGGGAGGCCACCTTTTGGGCCACGTGGGCCAGGACGGCGTTGTAGAGCTGGACGGCGGGCGCGGGGTCCTGCGGCGGCAGCCCGCTGGCCGCCCGCTCCTGCCGGTGGCTGTAAATCCTGGGGCTGAACTCGCGGCTCAACGTGGTCTCGATGAGCTGGGCCAGGGTTTGGCAGGACAGCGGGAAAGGCGGCGGGGCGCGGGACAGCAGCCAGCCCAGAGCCTGACTTAACTAAGGACGGACAGACAGGAGAGAGCAGCAGACGGAGGGTCAAAATTCAACCCAAAACCATGAGAGTCAACATTCATATAGCACCCTAACCACACTAGCTATATAAAGTGCAAGTAACCTAAAACATGACATATCTTCATTTAGGAAATGTGGCCCGGTAGCTCAATAGCCCAGTCCCTGACCGGTCCCCGACCATCAGCAATTTCTTTGTTCTGGCCCAATTGGTTGTTGCTGCTGTTGTGCACGTTTTTATGAACTGAACCCAGAGTTTCGATGGTTTAAACGAAAAGAACTGGCTTAAAGCCGAGCTGTGGCTCTGAACACATGTTAGATAATCGGCTTGTCCCGATACGATATCTGGATCAAATCGACTGCCGATATTCGCAAACATATCGGCCGGCAGGAGAAAATGCAGATCCAGACACCAGATCCAGTTTTTTTTTTTTAAGTCCGATCCCACACGAGCATTAGCATTAGCAACTCCTAACCCACAGGTCTGTGTCCTAACCATTAAGTTGTTATCAGGGTAAATCCCTGTTCAACATGAGTCTGACAACTAAGTAAGTAGATAAATAATTTTAAAATTGAATACATGCTCTGATAGGCCGGGACCGGTTTTGGTAGTGAAAAAAACTGGATCGGAACAACCTTAGATAATGACAGTGTTTATTGTTTCTGTGGGTGTGGCAGGTGTGAAGGTACCTGTTTGGATCCCTGCAGGTCACTTGTGGTCTCGGGTATGAAAAAGAAGGTGTACTCCGATATTAGGCCTTCCTTTATCAGCGTGTGCAGCATGAGAGCTACGAGACAAATTCAGACAACGAGGTTGGTTCACGGTTGCGTGGGTTGCTGATCAGTTAGTGCCGCGCTGCCAAAATCACCTTCTTCGACTCTGTGCTGGTCAGCGGAGCCCACGACCAGCCCGGGCACCAGGAGCACCAGAGGCAGGGGGCAGTGCCAGCTGTTGGCCTGCTGCAGCTGTTTGAGCTGCAGCAGGGCGGACAGCAGGGGCACGTCCTGCTCCTCGGGCCCGCTCTTCAGCGCGCGCAGGGCCGGGACCAGCATGATGAGGGCCCCCGTCCCCTGGAGCTCACTGGAATCCTCCACTGTGGACAGGTCGTCTATGGCCAGCGGGCCTCGGGATGCCTGAAAGAGAGGGAAAAATAAATAATAAAAAAAAGAATCTCGTGTTACAGAAGTACCTCACAAATGATTCTAACCCAATCCTAAAAAGGGGGCGGTTGAATTTTCCTGTTTGGTGATGATGGGAAAATGGGAAGATTGGAATTTAATTCCATTTTTTTTCTCCAAATTACATTCTTTAATGAGATTTTTTTTTTTAGGCACAAAGCTGAGCTGTAGCTCTTATTTTGTATTAGATAATGACAATATGTGTTTATCTGTGTGTGTGGCAGGTAGGAAAGTCCTCTATAGAACTCTGAAATACCTATAGATTACAGTTGTATAATTTGACTATAGAGAAATTAAATTTAAATTGCAACGTCACATTAGAAATCTCAAAACAAAACTATGGTCTCCCCCCCTTTGCAGAGGCGGTGAGGTTTCAAGCCTCTGTTGGAACCCACCTTGACGGTAATGTGGACTTTCTGAGTGCGCTGTCCTTTCTGCTGCAGCGTGTTGGTGACGCAGAGTGTCTGCAGGCTACTGCCGGGCTGCTCCTCGGGCCCTTTTTCACTTCCAAACTTCACCTCCAGCCAGTCTGACAGGATCCTGACAAAACAGAAAGGAAGCAGTGAAGCCGCCCGAAGGTTGAACCGGACAGTAGGGATGTCCCGATCCAACTTTTCTCACTACCCATCTTATACTGATCCGGCCTATCAGAGCATGTATTAAAGTTTAAAGTTATTCAGCCTACTTACTTAGTTGTCAGACTCATGTTGAACAGGGATTTACTCTGATAACAACTAAATGGTTAGGACACAGACCTGTGGGTTAGGAGATGCTAATGCTAATGCTGGTAGGGATCGGCCTTAAAAAAAAAAAAAAACTGGATCGGGAGTCTGGATCTGCATTTTCTCCTGCAGGCCGATACGCATTTTTTACGAATATCTGGATCGGATCGGGACAAGCCTACTAGATGGTCAACAAAACATCTCCAATAAAGGGGAAATCGTCATGGGCTTATTATGACCGTCAGATCCCCGAAATGATGCTCACGTGTCTGACAGGTCGGCCACGCTTTCATGTTCACTGGGTAGAAGCAGAAGAACTTTCCAAAAGATCCGGTCGTGTGGACTTTGGAGATTTTCTGCCACCAGCGCCGGCAGGTCAAGCGGAGCCCAAGCCGTCTCCCTGTTTTGAGGAAACGCCACAAATGTGTCAGAATGCGCCTTTGTGACTGGTATCGTGAGCTAAGTGACCTCTGGGGACTCACTCCAGCAGCAGCTGATAATAGTAGTGGACTCTCATCTGGTGGATCGCCTCTTGTCTCATTTTCAGCAGCCTTGACGGAGACAGACGACACGTTTTTACTCTTTGCTCCCGTCGGGAAGGAGGAAATGCCCCCGTGCCGACTTCGGTTCAACAAACCTGGTGCTGGACAGCGCCAGCCTGCCGGCGTTCCCCAGGTCGACCAGCCCGTGGGCCAGATCGGCCATGGAGGGCTGGGCGGGGGCGCTGGGGGCCAGGGCCTTCAGTTTGAAGAGGGGATCGACGCAGCAAGGGGCGGCGGGGAAGCCGCGCATCTGTCTCTTCAGCTGCCGACGCACCGCCACCACGTCACGCCACCTGGTGAGAGGAGAGCAGCGGTCAGAGGTCAGTTGCAAATTTTTATGGAAATTTTATTTTAAAGCAAAAGTCTGAGTCCATCTGAGGAAGTAAGATATAGAAATGTATTCAAAGGGAAAAAAGGGAAAGGGAAAACTTCATGAAGTGACAGCAGCCAGCACGACCATACAAGTGGTTCATATGACGTACCAAACTGCCCCAAAGTAAAACAAAATCACAGTACATTTTATACCCCTCTCTGAGCCTAATAAGATGGGTAAAATCTGTCTCCCATCATAGAGTAACCTACACCTGTACCAAACAATCCTCCAGCCAAAAAATGAAGAGATAAAGTATAGGGAGACCCTCTCTAAGACCTAGAAGGAAGACTGAGTCCCATGAGAAAGAAAAAGAACCTTTAAAATATTCACTTGTGGAAAGTTACCATAGAGAAATTAAGAAAGTGATTATACATATATTGATTTCCCTAACGCCAGCCAAAACATTTCTAATTGACCGGCGACCTCCCGTCTTTTCGCTTCTACCTCTTTATGTATTTGTGGATGCGCAGCAGCTGAGCTTCCAGGATGTCCTCCACCAGCAGGGCGATGTCGGCGCTTACGGTCTCCTCGATCAAGCCGCTGCAGATCTGCTCGGTGCAGCGGGCCACGCGCTCGGCCCGCTCGTTCACGGCCGCCCTGAGCGGGAAAGAAGGCGGCGGTCAGCTTAAAATGGGCGGAGACGGCCAGAAGACGCTAAACTTTTCAAATCTTACTGGATCTGGGAGGAGGCCACCTCCTGCGTGGTCTCGTCTAACACCTCGTGGAGGATCTCCGTGCACAGAGAGCAGCTGAACTCGGCCAGGAAGGCCTCGTGCTCCTGCCGTCTCCTGACGCACAAAGGCACAGAGAGGGACGTGAGTCGGGGCCGGGGATTAATTCCCGTCCCTCGACACACCGAGGATTAGTCGGCGTCACACCGACCTTGCTTCTTCCAGATTGCGCTTCTCCTCTGCCACACGCTCCTGTTCCGACTTGATCTCATTGGAGGAAATCTCCTCCAACATCTGTCCCAACACTTCACTCACGAGAGACTCCACCTGCACAGCGCTCTCCCTTCAGAGAAAAACAACGTTCTGGTTAATGAGAAGGGCCCCCGCCGTCCTTCGGGGAGCTAACGGACGCCGGACATAGACCTACGCCAGGGCTGTGGTCGCGTAGTGGGCGCCGGCGTCGGCCACCTCCCTCAGTGCCGCCTCCACCACCTCTTCTATCACACCGTCCAGCTCGGCAATAATGTCCTGAAATGGGGTTGAGGATAATATGAGTACAGCGATCGCTCACTTATGGCGGGTGTTAGGTCCCAGGACCACCCACGATAAGTAAAAAATATAGTGACGCTATATTTACTTTAATATTTAGATTTACATTATTTTAGTAGTTATACACCATTTAAAGTTTTTTAAATCCCTCCCCACACACTTCTACTCTACATAACACACTCCAACTCTACCCTTTATTTAGGGTTAATGCTTTATTTACTCACTCCTGGACTGTATTCTTTTAGTTTTAGGGTGAAATCTTTTTAATATATTTTTAATATATTTTTAATACATTTTGTGATGTTTAATGCAAAATTCCTCAAATGCATACATAAATGGTAAAATAATGAAAATACAGCGCTAATATTTTACATGAATATTTATTAAAATAACGCAAAGTAGCGAGTCTGCAAAATTTGAATCGCAAAGTAGCGAGGGATCACTGCACATTGCATAGAGAAAGATGGAAAGAAAAAAAGAATTTCTCTGTTGGTCCTCACCTCGTCGGTGTACGCGGGCTGAGGGGACGGCGGGTGGACGAGCTCGGGCTGGGGGATTGGCTGGAACAGCTGCGTGGCGTCTGCTGTCTGGGCAAACGGGCAGAACGGCTCGCTGGGCTCCCCCGTCTCGTTAGTGAGGGCGGGGGGGGCCGAAAAGGCAGAGGGGGCGTCGGGGGCCTTGGCCGGAAGGAACTGGGCGGCCACATCGGCGCTGGGTGCTGCTGTAAACTCCACGCTGGGGGCGAAAGCTAAGACATCCAAGGAGAAAAGATTACCTCCATTTATATGAGTACTACATTTAACAACGTGCATTGAAAAAAGTAGTAAATGTACAGCTCAACACTCATTAATACAGATGTTAAGGTAAATCATGTTTTTAAAGATAAATTATGGTAAATGGTATAAATGTGGAGCCAGTACCTTTAATGGAGCTGGTGGTGGACCCAACCAGTGCGTCTTCGATAGCACGGTATCTATTCTGAACGTCAAAACTGCAGACTGGGGTGTGCTGGGGAGGGGTGGGGAGAGGGCCCCCGTTCACCACCTGCCCCACCAGCACCGTTCTCTTTGCCAGGATCACCTCAGACTTTTTCGGGGACAGGGGGAGCTCGGGCTCCTGAAAAGCTATCCGGCTGAGCTCCACCACACTGCAAACACAGGAGGATCATCCGTTTTTAAATCAGATTGCAAACAGATCAACGCAATGATCCGCTCTATAAAAGGTGAAGGCAAGCTGATTTGTAAAGCACATTTTGTGTAAAGACCATTCAAAGTGCTCCACATACAAGATGCATTAAAAACGTCAGAGTTCCCATAGTCCCCAGTTTGCCCCTCAGAGCATCCAGTTTACGATTTAAGTCGCACAAAGTTCGAGTCTAAGTGTTGACGGCTTGGAGTAACGACTTCTGAAGCCGTCAGCTTCCAAATTTTCCGATAAACTAGCCAACTCCGTTGTATCTGAACTCCAGTTAGATCAAACTGGTCTCTTCTACAGGTGTTTTAGCTCTGAACAGGACTGTTCACCAGCAGACGTACCCGTCGTTGACGTTGAGGCCGTACTGCTGAATGAAGTCGGCGGCCTCGGCGGCACTGTGGAACATCAGCATTCGAACCACATCGTCAACCGGGAAAGGCGTGGATCGGGGTCCAACTGTGTGCGCCAGGTTCAGGGTCTTCAGCGCTTTAGCTCTGACCTGTTCACAAAAACAATGCCAAAACAACAATTCTGACTGTTACTTTTGAGATATTTCAGCATTTTAATAAAGAACTATTAGTATTAGCATTATTCATTTGAATTAATACAGTAGAACCTCTACATACGAATTTAACTCGTTCCAGGACCTACTTGGTATGTTAAAATATTGGTATGTTGGTTCAAATATTCCTATTAGAATACACTGTAACTCCTATAATTCATTCCACAGCCCCAAAAGCTACGATACCTCCTTAATAAATACTTCAGATAATTAAACATAGCGAAAAAAGAAATGCATTGAGTGATCTAAAAAAAATAAATGATAAAGAAATAATCAATAAAAAGAGGATTTTACTGGCACTTTATCTTAGAGACTGAAGAACGGAAGTGTAGGCTTAGCGATGCAGTAGGAGACGGTCGGTGTGGAGACTGAGATACAGTACGTACCGTAACTTACTCTAACTTTCACTACGTGAACTTTAAACTAACTCAGCTTATTTATTTTAATTTAACTTTCATATGTTATATATATTTTTCTATGACTTCGACGTTGGAAATTTACTTTGGGTGTCGAGTCGAATATTTGATCAAAAAATTTAATTTTGTATGTTGGAAAATTTGTATGTTTAGGCATCATAAGTAGAGGTTCTACTGTATTTACCATTTGGTCACCCAATTTGTTTGTTTTTTCTCTTATAACTATGAGAAGCTCTTAAACATTTTGGAGCTTTTACCTTCATAACGTTAAACGTTGAGATCACTGACTTACCCATCCACTTTAATAAGGGAAAATAAACTTGAATCAACCTCATCGCTAACAGATATTAGTGCTCTTCAAGTTGGGCTCTGACCTGATTGAAGTATCGATGCAGGAGGCAGCTGGCCAGATACGAGGCTCCTTTCACCAGCTTGAAGAAGCGCACAAAGTTGTTGCTGCTGACGGCGGTGAAGGCCTGGACGGCGAATTTCACCTCGGGCGAGTTGCGCACCTCGTCGCGGAACTGCTGCACCTCGCTGCGGGACACGGAAAACCACGGCGTTGGAAAATAGGGCCCTGGGGCCTTTTTCTGCCCCCCCCCCCGCTGGACTCACCGGAGGCTGTCGCCGTCGTTGAGCCGCAGCAGCACGCCGTACTGGCGGAACTCGGCCTCGCGCGGGCAGAAGACCTGCTGCGAGGCCAGGTCCTGGTACATCTCCTTCAGACTCTGCAGGCACTTGGTCATGTTCTCGTTGTTGATCTTGGCGTCGAAGGACGACATATGCTCCTCGCACAGGTGGTGGGCGCAGTGCACGTGGAAGCGCGTGCACTTCTCGATCAGCGACACGGTGTGCGGGCAGCACAGGTGCTGCTGGATGATGTCCTGATGGTGGCGGGGGGGGGGGGGGGAGATCACACAGTTAGCTAATAGCCGTGGGAATCCCAGAGTCCCAGATGACTAATGAGTGTTCCGCCCCCTTTACCTTGCGGATGCCCCGCGTCCTGTTCCAAACAAAGTCGTACCAGTCCCGGTACCTCTGCTCGCCCTGGTCCATGATCTGCGTCACCAGGTAGTCCATGGTCCTGCTCAGCACGGGCAGAGGCCGCAGCTCGTGGGGCAGCGGCTCCTCCTGGTCGGCTGATGACCGGCTGTACTCTTTGATGGCCGCCGAGTGTTCCACCTGCGGGGGAGCCCGGAGGTTTGTCATCAGAGTCACTCGGAGCTTCAAACATCCACTCAAAGCTGGTATTTTTCCCTTTTTGATTCAGCTTCAATTTGAATCAACATTTAAAAAAAAAAAAAGAAGTTGAAAGCGAGGATTGTAAAAAAAGGGTGATATACCGGAAATTGGTAATATGTAAACGGGCCTCTACAAACTAGGGATGTCCCGATCCAGCTTTTTGCATTTCTGATCCGATCCCTCCCTATCAGAGCATGTATTAAAGTTATTTAGCCAACTTGCTTAGTTGTCAGACTCATGTTGAACAAGGATTTAATCTTATAACAAGTTAATGGTTGAGATGCTAATGCTCGTGTGGGATAGGACTTTAAAAAAAAACTGGATGGGCATTTTCTCCTGCCGGCCGATACGCATTTTTTTCAAATATCGTTGGCCGATCCGATCTAAATATGGTATTGGGACAAGCCTACTACAAACAATAACATCGGTTTTGAGGAAGAGATTCGAAAACAGGATCGTCTTTCAGAAGAGTCCCACGTAAAGACTCTGACGTTTTAACTAGAAAAGGAGGAAGTTACCATCTCCGTGTTGGGGATGACCTCGTATATGCTGAGCTGTTTCCGCGTCTCCCTCATGTACCTCTCCTTCTCTGGACACATGTCTGGACACGTGCCCACGAAAACGCTGGACGTGTGCAGGTCCGTCCGCTTGGGCCGACCTGTGAGGAGGGCATGAACCAGCCGGGTCACATCCCGGGCTTTGCGGACGGGGAGGGGGGGTGGAAACCGCTCTCACCTTGACGCAGGATTTTGTCCCTCTGCTCCAGGAGGCGGTACTTCTCCTCTGCGCTCTCGGCCACCTGGTCGATGAGGTGGACGAGGGAAGAGGGGACGGGGACGGGGCGCTCCAGGCCCTGGGTCTCGGCGCAGACCTCCCTCTGGACCTCCGAGTCGAACTGCAGCATCTTGACCGGGGACGACCTCCTGACGGGAGAGCTGGCATAAAGGGCCAGACGTTAGACGGCCAAAGTCCGGCAAAAACCTTTTTTCTCACCCTGAAGCCCCTGTTCCTATGTAGAAAGACAAAGCTTTTCATGCTGTGGTACCCTTTGCTGAGAGGGAATGATCCGCCGAGTGCTGTGGGCCTGGCTGTGGCCCCTCTGGAGGGGGAGGAACCAGCTATGGAGTCTGTCACTTCCTGATCTTCTTCTCCTGCCTCGTCCTTTCCCATCGCAGGCCTGCTCCCTTTGTCCCTCGGACCTAATCCACGAAATGAAAACAAACCTCTAAATGAATAAACCAATCAAAAACGCCAAAAGTCAACACTTGTCTATAGGTTAAACATTTGGGAAAATGGGTGGCACTTACTCTGCTTCTTCTTGTGCCACAGGAGGAGGAGCTCGTGCCTGTGCAGCATTTTGCCCTTCTTCTTGGCTTTAGCAGCAGCAGCCTGACAAAAATGACATTCAACAAAGAATAACAGCAAAATCCATTAAAATGCCTAAAAGAAAAAAATAATTCCCATTCAGCGTTATTCAAAATGAAAATATCTTCAAAATGACAACTGAATGATCGATATATACACATCTGGGCTAAAGCTTGGGTACATTTAGTTCAAAAGCCAACGTTTTCCAAATATCCACGCTTCTGTGTTTAGCCCAGATTTAAAAGGAACTGTCTATGTGACGAGACTTGGATAATTAACTCTTATTTGTGATGAGGGACTGTTCCTGGTTTGAATCCCTGAGGGCTTTTCTGCGTGGGGTTTGTTCTCCCTGCGTCTGTGTGGGTTCCCTTCAGGTACTATGGCTTCCTCCCTCCATCCAAAAATATGCACGTGAACTTAGTGGGAGACTCTAATTTGCCACTGGGATAAAAACACTGTGGGGTTTTGATAAATATGTAGAGGTAACTCACGTGGTTGTCAAAGTAAACCATGGCCATGTTCTTCGCGGGTCGACAGAAGACCTTGTGGACTTTTCCAAAACGGGAAAAGTGTTTCTCGATCACGTCCTTTTTGTTGAGGGCGGGGGGGATGTTCCTGCACTGGAGGGTGCTGATGTCATTGGGAACCATGCCACTCAGGCTGTCCAGGCTCTCCCTGCGCGCTCCACGACGAACAGGGGTCAGCCCTTCGGCCGTTGGGTCTGGAGAAACAGCTAAATCTAAAAGAGGAGAGCAGAATGGATGTTTCTTATTAGTGCAAACTACTTTTAATTCATGTATGTAATATTTTCTCCAGGTTAAAACTATCATTTTTCCCATTATAGACAGAAACCTGAAAGGAACAAAGTCAAGTATTTATTTGACTCATAACTATCACAACAATGTTTATATATATATATGTGTTTGTGTGTTTTTCTTATATCTGAGTTGTCCAACAAAATAAAATTAACCATAATGTGACTTAAAGATATGACTAAAAAAGTTTTCATATGCAAATTAAACTAAACTCCGGGTCATCGTAGTCATATTTACTGGGTGTATCACACAACTTTATCTTGGAATGTTAAAAATGAAGTTAAATACATAATGGGGCTCATGTTCAGTGGACCGGCTGGATATCTCACCTGAATTTTCAGGTTTTTCCAGCACGTCTCTGCTCAGTAGCTGGATGGCCGGTGGTTTACTGGACGGGTCATCAGCGAAAGCGTGGACATCATCCCTTTCCTTTGGCTGCATCTGACCCTCCTTAGTGGTTTCTCGCCTCACTGGGTTTGTGCGTTCTTTACCAATACCCTTTAGTGCTTCAGAAAATAAGCCACGGGACCTGATCAGAGGCCTCTTTGAAAGATGCCTTAGAGGATCTGCTCCGGGGGCGTCGCCCTCCTCGTCTGGTTGCTTCTCTAGTCCTGAGCTTGAAACCGTTTCCTCATCTTTGCGCTTGGTACCTTTGCCAATTCGTGCAAATACATTTGTTTCTGGCTGGCCTGCAAGGCTGCTCCCATTATCGTCAGCGCTTGTCTCTCCTTTAGCGTTTGTCTGCCCAAACGTGGAGGGCTGACCAAAGCTGGACGCCTCGGATAAGGTTCCCGGTTGACTCTGGAGGGTCTGGGCTGAAAAACTGAAAGTTGAAGGGGTCGTGGGCTCTGTAGTGGAGGTTGTGGTGCAGGAGCTGGAGGGGGCAGCTGGCTGGGAAAAGGTGAACTGGAGAGTGCTAGCTGTACCACTCCCATTTCCAGCAGAGGGATTGCTTTGAATGGGAATGGACGGGGCTGCGGCCGGCTGTGAGAAACTAAAGCCCAGTGGTCCAGACTTAGCCGCAGTTAGAAGGGAAAAGCCGGCTGTGGTGGTGGTAGTGGTGTTGGAGCTCGTCTGGGGCCCGGAACCGCCAAATGTGGAGCTAGATATGGAGGAAGTTTGGGGGTTATTTGGCTCAGGGCTGGCGTTGAAAATGGGTTTGAATCGAGCCTTGTTGGCTGGCTTGAAACAAAACTCAGAAGAACCAAATCCTCTGCTTTGGGTCACACTCTGAGCCGAACCGAACACAGCGGTGGGGCCACTGGTGGACGAAACTGGCTGTCCAAACGGAGACTGTCCAAAAGCGAGTGGCTGAGGCTGCCCAAGGGTCGTGGTGGGGTCTGTGGTCACCTGAGAGGGTCCGAACGCAGAGCGCTGCTGGCCGAACACAGCCGTTTGCTGTTTGCTGAATCCTGCAGCCTGCCCAAACGCAGAAGACTGCCCAAATCCAGATGTCTGCGCAAAGACCGAACCCTGGTTCTGTCCAAAAGCTGGAGTGGTGCTACTAGAGAAATTTGAACTAGTCATTCCCAATGATGGTTGTCCAAATGCTGGAGCTTGGCTCATCGCAGGCACTGGCGGGGGCTGAGGCTGCTGCCCGAAGGTTGGGGCTTGTCCAAAGATTGTATTTCCGTGGGATGCAGGTTGATTCAAAACAGACGACTGTCCAAACCCGGATGATTGAAAAAACCCCATACTTTGGGCCGGAGTGCTGGAACTCTGCTGCCCAAATGACTGGAATAAACCGGTCTTCATGGTGCTGCTTGGAGCTTGGAAAGCTCCCTGAGGACTGCCAAATGGATTTGATGGATTCATGGCGGATTAAAAAAAACCTAGCCAGAGCATTCCAGCAGTTTTATTCTAAGACCGGTCACTTACCGGTTAAAAGCTTTGAGCATATTGCGAATAAATGGCCTAACAAAGATGCATAGCTCACTTGCTAGCATAGGCTAACCACAAACACCGACAAAGTTTCTTCGAAAAGTTGTTCTTCTAGTTTTTTTGGTATTTTTCTCTACTTGGCAAAAACATTTCCTTAGAGGTAAGGTTAGGCTATAAATTACTGAAATTAAAAAGTCCCGTCTTTTTGTTCGTGCGCGTAAGTATCTTTTTGGCTCACTGGAATAAACACATTTTCTAACATCCGGTTCCGGTCCAACTAACGGAAGGTCCCGCGCAAACGAAAAGTCCGTTCCGAGAGAGTCATGGCAATGAGTTGGGGCTCGGAGCAATAAGGCAAGCCTTCGTTTCCTTTAACGGAGTAAAGTCATTTATTTTTATTTTTACTCACATACGAAATCAATACCAAAAACGTCCTTAGTCGGTTTTAGGGAGATGTTGAAAGTGTCACCTTGAATTGTACCGACCCTTAATGACTGAACATCATTAGCGGCTAGCGTAAAGCTGACGAGCTTTTATCGTGAAAAAACAAAACTATCGCTATAAAATTACTTGAACTACCTGTTGCCGTAGTTAGCATCAGATTCAACGTTTACCTTTGATGTCAACATTTTTTTTAAACAGCCGCATTCTCTTACTGCGTCGACTTTTAAAATGGGAGTAGTACTGCGGAACCTCCAGAAGGTGGTACCTCTTCGCCGCGCGAGACTGCGCAAAGACGTTAACGCTCTCAGACACATTCTGGGCATCCAGAAATTTGACTTGGGCATTGTTTGCGTGGACAACCACAGGATTCAGCAAATCAATCACATTTACAGGAAGAAAAATGTGCCAACGGACGTCCTATCATTTCCATTCTACGAGGTAAATTCCTAATGAATGCATAAATATGAAGAAACCAAGTACAACAAGGGATGATCAGTGTGTAATTTTGTTTATTTATGTTTTAATCTGACACGTGTTTTCCAGGATGTGAGACCTGGAAAACTGCCTTGTCCTCTACATAGAGATGAGCTGAACCTTGGGGACATTTTCCTTGGGGTGGAGTTCATAATGAAGCAGTGTCAGAAGGAATCTCTGGATCTGCACGGTGCTCTGACAGTGAGTGGCTTTTGTTAGTGTCACAACTTTTATTTTCTGTTTTGAAATATGTGTAGAAAATAATGTTCTATTTCTGTTGGCTCTTCAGGTTGTCACTGCACATGGCATCTGCCATCTCTTGGGTTACAGGCATGAAACAGAAGAAGAATGGGAAGAGGTTTGTACGGTGGAAAAACTTTCTCTTACAGACATCTGTGTATTGAAATATGTTGCTGGCACTGTTCATTGAATACATTTTTTATTCCAAGTAATTAAAGAACTTGGGAAAATGAAAATGCACTATTTACACCATTTCTAACAATGAAAATACACCCAACTTCTTACTGATTGACAAGCTGTCAGTGTTCTTTAGTTAATATTAAATACATTTCTCTAACCTGTCCTTGTCTGTGTTGGGTTTTATTTTTCTTATATTTATCCAGCTCTTTGGTATACGTACACCAGTTATAGAAGGTCCTACTCTTCGGCATAGTATTCACTGTTCAGATTAAAATAAAATAAAATCTGGTTGTTCCAACAATTGTATTAAATCTGTTATTTGATAGGTTTTCTTTTCAAACTGAACCCTTGAGCCTCATTGACTTCAGTGGTTGTTAAACAATGATAGATGATGTAATTTGCTTCCAGATGCTGCAGAAGGAAAACTACATTCTAAGTGAATACAACAGACTCACAGGTCGACATCTGCTGCCGCTGATGAAGAGATGCAGTCAAGATAGGTGACAGGGACGGCGGCCCCTGCCCACAGCCCAAAACTGCACTACGTGTTTCGCTACGTCTTGGCTAATTTAATTAAATGGTATTGTTCATGTTAGAATATAAAACCACTGCTATTTTGTTCACAATCAGCAGTTGCTGGAATGATTTGACGTCGTGGTTTGTCCTCTGAAAAAACAAACAAACAAACTAATGAATTCGTTCACTATAATTTTTTATTAAAATCTGCTTTAGGAAGAGTCACTTGTGTATGAAGGGTAGAAAAAGCTTTTCGTTCTAATTTCACAAAAACATTTGAACTTCTTCACACTGCGTTGAGGCGGGATGCTAAGGGAGCACAAGGTTTCAAAGATGGAAAAACAAATGTCATTTTTGTCTGACATGACAATTAATTTCGCAACAGCAGACATTCATTTCAGTGTATTCCACCAATAGTGGATTACTTCCAAAATAAACAGGCCTGGGGCATACGCTGACTACACAATAATGCTGTCTTACGCAAATTTGAGTTAGGATTAATGTTTCAGATCAACAGTGGCATTCTTAAGTTTTACCTTCTGTAATGCGAGAAAAAAAAAAGAATACAGCTTTTGTCTGGTACGGAAAGCAGTGCCGGGTTTTCCAACGGGAAACATGCCTAACGGGAACTATCTGAACACTTAACCTGGATCAAAGCTGTGAAATACTGTCTGATGGCTCTGAAGATGGAACATAAAAGATGTGCTAGAGCTAGTTTGCCTGGTGGTCTAGTAGTAATAACTTTAATTTGCCTGTAGTTTGTCTTAGGTAATTAAGACAACTGGGCCATATAGTATGTTGCAATTCATAGAACAATCTGCTGGCTTTATATAGACGAACATCTGATTTACACATTTAGGTCTGACAATGGTACAGAAATAACAAGGTGGTGCACCTCTTAAAGTAAAGCTTGTACACACATTTATAGAAGTTTTCTAAGGAGGCACAAGGTCAAAACCCCAAAAGAACGGCGTGGGATTAACTGTGACGAGCTCAGTAACTATCAGAGTTCTTTCAGAAACCTTCAAATATAAAAGAAACCACAGATAAATCAGGTTGCGAGTCAAACACAAAAAGCAAGTGAGAAATGATCCACACTACCCAAAAGCTAAACCGAACTGGCCACTTTGTGCCGCCACATAAATATTGCACCGACTGTACCCGCTACATAGCACCCTCTAACTTTATAATAGTTTATAGTCCAACATAGAATATATTTTTATTCAGCTTCTATGGGAAATAAAGGTTCTGCAAACATACAGTCCACGCAGCACCAGTAGCATCTGGCATTTTGATCATTTTAAAGTGAACATCTGTTTTAACAAAACAAAAAAAAAAAAAAAATCAAACCTTTACAAAACTGATAAAATCATTGCCAAAGAAAACAGAAAAACTCCAGCTCCAAAAACAAGGAGATGGAATTTAACTACATTTCCAAGATCTTAAAGTCTTTAACATTTTTACACCTGTGTTATGAGCAGAATTGAGAGATTTGCGGAGGGACGTGAAGTGCCTGAAGACGATCACAAACGGACGGCAATCAGTAGTACAGAGGGTCGTTCACAGGGCGGCTGGATCTGCTCTGCGTCAGCTGGAAATCAGAGTGCACGTGCACGTGCGCCTGGCCACAGCTCTCAGAGCGGCTGCAGGACGTTCCTCCCCGCCTCTGAAGTGCTGCTGGCTCCAGATCGCTCCATGTCCGACAACTGCTCAAACACATCTCTGAAGACATCAGAGGAAGATGGAAGGAGAAGGTGACTTACAGAAGGCTTAACGTGCTCGTTTGTAATGTCTTTATTGGATTTACACACTAAAACAAAATCTACAATTTACCAGAATAAACCTGGAACTCACCAAGGAAATATATTTTTCCTTAGAAATTACATTTTAAAGTTCTGTGTTTCATATGTGAAGCATGACTATGATTAGGCTTGTCCCGATCCAATATTTGGATGGGATGCTGATTTAAACTCCCGATCCAGTTTTTTTTTTTTAAAGTCCGATCCCACACAAGCATTAGCATCTGCTAACCCACAGGTCTGTGTCTTAACCATTAAGTTGTTATCAGAGTAAATCCCTGTTAAACATGAGTCTGACAACTAAGTAAGTAGAATAAATAACTTTAAACTTTAGTACATGCTCTGATAGGCCGGTTCAGATCGGAAGTCCAAGAAGCTGGATCAGGACATCTCTAACGATGATGAAAGAAAAGACCTTTTCATCAAAATTAATTTGTGGATATCTAAACGGGAACGTCTGAACCCACTGCCACCTGAGCTGCCGCACAGGCTGATGGAGTTCCAGTAATTTCCTGCACTACAGACAAAACAGAGTTTCTGGTTTCAGCCTTAACGACACGTGCAGACTCACTTGTGCATGTAGAAGAAGATGTATCCGCTGCGGTCGCGGTCCCGCTGGACGGCCGCCTCCTGCGTGCGCGACACATCCAGGTCGTTGTAGGTCAGCCACGACTGCTTCTTCATGTCGTAGACGTCGCTGATATAATGACCTGGGGAGGGGAACGAGTTTTCTTATGCACGGCTAAGTAGGCACGTAAATGAATCGGCACGAGTTTGTTCCCCATGTTAATGGCAACGACATTTTACCGGTGTTAATCTACTCTAAAATAAAGCCAAATACACAAACGGTGGCTCACCAGAGGAGGAACTGCTCCCAATGTGACTGACGACGCTGATAAGTCGGTAGGAGTTGGTCAAGTCTCCAGTCTGTGGATCAAAGTGCATCAACAGGTCAATGAAACCACAATGGATGCATGATATCAACACAAAAGCCTTTCTAAATGAACCAATCATCTGATCCAATCATCCGTTAAGGCGTGTTATTAGAGAATAGAAATGTTTTAGATAAACTTTTACTTCAATTGATCATAGAAAGTATTTTAACATTAAAACAATACAATTAATACCCGATTTAGATTTTATGTCACTGATAGAAGTTAAAGTGAAACACCTACAACATTTGATATATAAAACATGCTGATAGAGAGAGAGAGAGAGAGAGAGATATATATAGATAGAGATTCTTCAGTAGAGATTCTGAGCTATTTGTCGACATGAAGAGCAGCTTTATCCAACTACAGATGTAAATCCGCTATTGGTAGTTGAATATTAAACCACAACACCCGTTTAAAACTCTTTGGCAGATGCTAAATGGGCTCGGTGTGGGAGATACCTCAGCGTTTCTCTTCAGGTTCTCTGCCTCTGCTTCAGTGTACTCCATGTCCAGCACATCCTCGTTTCCAGAGTCGTCGTCTGAACACAGCAGCTCGGGCAGAGAGTTGTTAAACTCTGTCAGGCACAAAGAGGACACTTGTGGAGAATGCAGGAGCACTGAGAGCGATACAAAGTTTTAGCCACATCCAAGAATGAAACACTGACAGTGAACCCTGTGACCAATCCAAACAGAATATGAGGCGGCACATATTTAAATATCCGGTTGCATTTCTAGCCAACTGGATGACAAAGACGTCATGCAGGTTGGACACCGGCTGGTAAACAACAGCCTTAAAGAAGAAAAATACATTTTCTCAAAGATATGTTCATACCTTGCAGGCTGAGCTCAGTGGCCCTCTTAAGATCATCATCTTCTTTCATCTCCTGGGCTTCCTAAACGGGTCAAAGTGAGAACAAGGGACCACATTTACTTTACAAAAATAACTCAACTGCCATTTCACTCCTATCTGTTGTTGCTCAATCCTAAAAATGCACATGTAAGTGTAGTTACTGGTAACTAAATGTGTTTTTCCCTATTATTACAAATAACTAATCAAGTCTGTACCAGATTTCTTTTTTTTTTTAATGAACACATTTAAGTTTTTTTACACAATATTTTTCGGGCCCTGTTTTCCAGAAACCCTTTGGGAAATCCTTAAGTTCTATCCCGCATTTCTTAAATGCCCTTTGGATCCAAGAGGCCTCGTGTTTCGATCTTACATGCTCCTGGAGGCTCTGGGCCAGAGCCTGCTGCAACTCCTGTTCTTCCCTCTCCTGGTCCAGGCTGTACTGCTGGACCCAGTCCAGCTCGCCCTGCTGCTGCACACCCTCTGGAGTCTGGTTCTCCTTGTTTTCGTCCATGGTCAAATCCAGAGAATCGAGCACATCTACACAAAAACCACAAATAATCAAAAATCAACTCCCATAATAGCTGAAATCATGTGAAGTTACATAAGCCATCCCCAAATTACCTCTAATACAATGATTTAAATTGAAATCTGGTTATGGTAAGTTTACATTTGATTGCTGTAGATGTTTCGAACTGAATTAAATCACTTTGATTTCACAAAGCATTCAGTTGAGCCGCTCAATATCTTTTTCCTGCGGTGCTTATAGGATCCCATTCCGGTAGATTCTCCACAGAAAACACTCGTCTGGGAGTACCTGCAGGCTGTTTGTTGTCTGCCTCCAGCAGCTCTGTGTGATAGGCCAGGTCATGGACGTCTGTGTCCCCGAAGCCCGTATCGGGGCTGCTGGTTGGCTCGTCCTCCGGCGCCGGCGGTGCGGAGAGCGCTGCTTCTTGACGGCTCATCTCCAACACGGCCGCCAGCATTTCGTCATCGTTAATGCCACCGAAGTCTGCCGACTCCACTGCTGCTCCCCTCTGAAAACACCCACAAGGTATAAGACGGCGCAGACAAAAAAAACTGGCGTGTGGACGTGTCCGGGGGGGGGCGCTCACCTCTTCTGGACGGTCATCGTCCTCGGCAAGGCAGCTGCTTATGCGTCGCTTGCGGCTAAGATTCACCTTTCTGGTGGGTTCCTCTTCGTAGTCAGAGTCCAACAGGATGGAAGTGCAGCTGCTATTGGCCACTTTCCCCCCAGTCCTCCTACAAAAAGTCATACGTTCCAAGATTTTAAAAAATGTGTTCACCTCAAAACACTGTTTCTATCCAGATGGTGCACATGTAACCCTTTTAGGTTCCCACATTGCACTTTTACACTGGAGTAAATTCAATCATTATGTTCTTAGAACTTTTTGCAGGACTCACCGAAGTGGTGTAGTGGAGGAGTTGACTGATTGTGACGTCTTAAGCGTTCTGGACCTGTAGAAAAAAGATTAAAAATATATAAATATATAATTTACCGGCCTATCAGAGCATGAATTAAAGTTTAGAGTTATTTAGCCTACTAACTTAGTTGTCAGACTCATGTTGAAAAGGGATTTACTCCTATAACTAGCCAGCTGAATTAGGTTTGTTTGAATAATACACAATGGTTGGTAAAGAGACAATGACCAGTTTATTCAGGGACAAACACAAAATAGACCAAATTATAAATAACCAACAGAAATGGCATCAGTGAACAGTGAAAAGTGCAAATAATATTGTAAACTGTATTAAAAAGGCAAAACACACAAACAAGCTGAATAAAAAATGCGGAAAAATAGAAAATAGTCTATTAACTCAGCATCAGTAATGGATTATTTTAATCAGTGTGCTGAAAAACACGGATCTGACTTATTTTTAAAAATGGATCTGGAGTCTGGATCTGCATTTTTTTCCTGCCGGCCGATGCAAATTTTTTTGCAAATATGGGCGGCGGATCCAATCCAAATACTGGATCAGGACAAGCCTAGAGCCGACATCAACTCACAACCAGCCAAACGTCCATTAGGTGTTCAAACCTTTGATATTGGCTTCAAACTAAACAGTATTTGATATTTTCCATTTTTTCAAGGATGAAACAACTCCTGATAAAATGTAGTTCCACGGTGTGACATTACTCCATTCCAGACTAAATACTCACGCAGAGGCCTGGGAACTCCAGCTGAGGCTGATGGGCGGTCTGGTGGAGTCTGTACAGTGCGACAGCAGGGTCAGGTAGCGGGGGATGACCACCTGCTGACCCAGCTTGCTGTTGAGCGACAGCTGGGCGTTAAAGCTGTAGCGTTTCAGGTGCAGGATGAGCACTCTGCAGGAAGAAAAGATATCCCAAATCATCACAACGAAGCAGTGCCCGAGTTAGGCTTTTACACAACATTTGTTCTGGTGTTTTATCGTCAGAAATTTCCATAAAAATGATAAACTGAACAGAGAAAAGGGGCGATTCACTGTCTGAGGCATTAAAATCAGGGTTCTACAGTCACTGCCGGCACAAAAGCACAACCCAGCTATTTTCTTTTCTGAAGATGGGATGTTCATGAAATGAGGGAAGATAATGAAAATGTAGGAATTTAGATTTACCATTACAAAGTATAAGTTTCTCCTGGGGTCATGCATATATACATTTTTTTTTTTTTAAACATACAAACACGCACAAATAAGAGTTTGTTTATATATTGTGTGTCAGCATGTGTAAGGGGCTCTGATGACAATAGGAATCTGTGTCGGATGTGGAAAAAGGGTTTAGGATGTTTCTCCTTCAAAATAAAGAGTCTCTCGTCTTTTAGTGTGTAGATACCTGGGCAGTTTGCTGAATTTATGCGTTACAGTCGCTGCTTTTCCGTTGCACTTTTCACACGAGTACTCAATTTCCTCCATCTGTAAACAAGAAAGGACCCAGAGTAAACCCGTTTAAGTGAACTGGATGGAGCTGATGACCAGTTCTTACGAATACCGATGTGAAAGACTCACCCTGAAAAACAGGTCCAGGGAGTCCTGTATGGAGCGGAGGGGGAGAGTTTTCCTTCTGCGCGGCAGGTCGATGGATAAGTCGTTGAACTGCTCCCGTTTGGTCACCACCTCACCACAGCTGCAACACAACCCCGGGGTCACCTCAGTCCTCCTCCGTTCCCAAAGCGTGATCAGACCACACGAACAAACGGAGCTCAGCCTCACCCTTTGCACGTTATTGTGTGCTGGACCTCGAACTCCATGTTGACGGCGACAGGGCAGGTGTATATGCGGGAGGTGTCCGCCTCCTCGCCCGGCTCTCCCCTCCCACTTGTTGGCGTTGCCGTCGCCTCCGGGCCGTTCTCGCACAATGCAGAGGACGACAAAGCGGTCTCATTTGTCCAGCTCTTGTTCATCTTCTCTACGTCGTCCTTAAGCTGGTCCAAACACTGGCTCAAGAACTCATGAGCATCCTGATAAACGGATAATAAACATAAACTTATTGGCAGGATGGCATTGTGAACTAAAGTTAGAAATATTCTGGGTATTTACATGTGGTACATACATGACATACATACAATGACCGTTGTTTGTTTTTTTTATCAACAGAGATACAGCAACTATGAAATGATAAATCAAGAGGGGAAAAAATAAAACTTACATTCTGCATGTTTCCAGAGAAACGCTCAGCTGTGGAGGAGATGGCGCTCTTCACTTTCCTCAAGAGGTCTTTTTTAGTCTCTGGACAGCCCACATCCTTCTTAGCCATTAGATGAGCAAAGCGTCTGCAGAGGGAAAATGCAACTTACAATAAGTAAAAATGGATCATTTCCTTTTTGACGTAGGATGAATCAGAGACTCTGTGAGCTGTGGTGTGAGTGTTCCTCTAAGTGACTCTGAGCAGGTCTGTACATGCTTTACTGTCATTGTGCGTGGTTATCAAAGTCAATACACAACCTGAGCAATGCATTGATGGGCACCTTCTTCCAGGGGATGCTCTGCTTCAGCATGTCATTGGAGAATGAGGGGAGGCTGAAGAGGGACTGCAGAATGGCGTTCATGTAACAAGTGTTGCCAAGGTTGGAAAACCTGCAATTGTTGCGAAATTGACACGTTAAATTTCACTAAGTTCCTTTTTGCCAACTTCCTTCTTTAATGTACTCGCCGGCTTTGGGTTACTTGATTCAAAATGCATGCAATTATTAATCTTATTCTTACCCCTGCAGTGGGGGCTGTGGCTGGGCAAGAGTAGAGGACCTCTGCTTATTCCAGCCACCATAGTCCAGAGAGGGTCGCACTTTCTTGAAGGGAGTGGAGTGATTGGGAAGCATGAGGCTTCTCTTAGCTGAAGTGGTCTGTGCAGTGCCAGCAGCTCTGGAAGTAAACGGTCATCGTAGATATTACACACCATCGCTACAGGTGGAAAACCACCAACGTCTTCGTTCTAACCCTTCTAGCTTGTGGACTTCACCTCCCCCCGGACACCAGATAAGGGCAAGCACTCACCTGTCCAAAAAAGAGTGGCTCTGGCTGTAGTCTTTGGTGACAGACCGACTGCCGTAGAACGATGTTGGCTGAAGTGGGGTTGAGCCAAGTGGAGCTATGAGTGAGGAAGAAAACGAGTGTTGAGGCTTTAACCCAAAATCAGTTTTAGGCCTCATGATCTGCATGGATTGATAACCGTAGAACATGATACATAAAGTTTCACAAATTCGTGTACCATTTGTAAAGTAGAACAATTAAAAATGAATGTGATTACAGGAGAGACCTCTGCTCAGAGCTGTGGACGCTGTGCTTTACCTGTGCTCCGATTCTCCTCCGTCTGCTTCAGTTTTTCTTTGCAGCTCAAAAGATACTTCCTGGATGGATCTGAAGTGGCCTTGTTGTTGCTTTGAGAATAAAATGCAGTAATATTGCTGTTAATAACACTTGTCTGGATATCTGATTGCACCAACACAGGACTTTAAAGTAAGAGCTCTGTCTATCGACATGTTTTCTTTACCATTATTCTGAAATAAGACTGTTTATCTCCGACCACTGTAACTGTGTCAAACGGTACTGATTCGTTCACCTTGAGGAATCGTTTTCTTTGGGGTAGTCCTCAGTCAGATCACTTTCAGAGTTGATGAGCCTCTTCCTCTTCTCACTCCTGGCACAAGCGGAAAGTAAATCACAGTCTTACAATCTAACAAACTTGACATGGTTAGACAAATCATCCATGAACTGGGAAGAAAGAGGGCTGAGACTTAATCATTTGTCTTTTGTCTAAAGCAAGAGTGACTGATTTGATCCAAAAGAACATTGAGACCCACCTGTTTTCAGACAGTCCGGAGCGGGTGGGGGTGGACACTGCTCTGCTCGGGCTGCTTAGAGGCTTCCGCGGTGTTGTGTCATCGCGACCATCTGCGCTCTGCCGCCTTGGAGTGGTCTAAAATCCGAGAGTGGACGGTTGGAGTGAGATGATACATTTATTTGAATGGAAACGTATAGGTCAAAGTGGCTGTTGTTGGTGGTTGCTGACCTGTCTCTCCCCTGAAGGGTTGCTGTCATTTTTCATAGTGCGGTTGCCAAGCACGCTGAAGTTTGCACTTCCATGAGATGATTTTAAAACTGTGAAAAAAAACAACACACCATTTAATGTCATGTGCTTCTCGTTCAATCTTTAACTGAACAGTATTTTAACATTACAACTTTCACAAAAAGGAAATAGTTGGCCGCTTCAGGCTAGAAATAAGATGGTGATAGTCAAATGACAATTGAAACTTTAAAACAGGTCAGAAAGTAATTGCTAATGTCACGATGAGGATCGTCAAACTTTTCAGAGGAAACTTTGTACAAAGGTGAATCATCTACTCAATTAAACAAGATGCATTAAAAAAACTGTGGATTCAATAAAAAAAACAAAAAACTGTGTTTATGTTTCTGCTTTTAGAGCGACTTACAATGCAAATACAACATTATAGTTAACACCACCTAACAATCAGCTACATAGAAGAAAAGCACTAGTCAGACTTAGACACAGCCGTAGTGACCGTGTAGAGAAAGAGGGAAGCGCAGAAAGACTAGTAGAGGGTGTGGGGAGGTACAGAGTAAGAGTTAGGGTAGAACAGTTAGTTTTAAAAGAAAAATCTTTTTATTACCGATTTGAGAATTTGTTAAAGGGTACCTTAGTTGACCATGGATTAAAATGAGTAGTAGTGAAATTACCTGGCTTTCCTTGTCTCAGCTTTTCTAGGTATTCCTTTGTCCTCTGAGCCAAAGGTGGGGGCATCTTGTCCAGGATGATGACACTGGTGTCTTTCAAAGTCAGCATGACGCGGGTCATACTCTGAGAGATGTTTTTCACGTTCTGGTTCAGCTGAGGGCAAGATTACATTTTAATTGGACCACCTTGAATTTCTATTAAACTTTTAACATTTGTTAGTCTTATACTCATATAATTAGGTATTCTTGGATCCTGTAAATGTTTTGGTCTTTTTCACTTTTGAAAGGCGGAAACTGCTTCTATCCAAGCAGATTTAAAATCCATTTACTCAACACGCCACCCATAAAGAAAATGTTCCGATGTTACTTTGAACATAAATTTTCCTTTCATTCTTACATAGAATTCCCTAATTTGTACATTCACGACAAAATGTCCACTTAGATGCCAACTCAACAATTCTGTTCAACACTGTAACAAATGGTTAAGCAATATTCCTGAACTTTGCTAAAGATTGGGCTGAGTAGGATTTGCTGACCACAAAGGATCACATCTCCAAGAATTGGAAAGTTTGGAGAGGATGACTTTCCATAGATGAAAAGTACAGACACACAGTATATTACTAAGATAACAGCAGCTACAGTAGAAGTGGCACAACACATGGAGCCGAGACAAATTACAGGTTTTGGCAGCTGACAACAAAATGAACCACGTTTTTACTATAGCCAAAAAACGAGACACAGACTTTGTTTTTGGCTATTTGTCATATTTTTTGACCGTATCAGTGACAGGACTATCCATCAATCCATGGAATAACACTACGGTATACGTCCTGTGACAGCTAGGATAGATATTAAAGGGACAAATGACAGCGAAAAAAAGAAAAACACAATAAAACATCAATAACTAAATAAAATAATCCTTGCAAAGGAACACAATTCGTACCTGGAAGGTTTTTGCTGCTCCGCCACAGTTGAATCTGAGGCAGAGGTTAACTTTGTTATCCTTTTCCAAAATCTCAAAAGTTCCCTCTTTCCATCTGGTGGTGCCCACGTCTATGCTGGTGAACCGGATCTTAACAGCGCCACCACTGGACAGTTTGGGGACTATGGTTGCCATGGCTTGCTATCCTGACGGGGCTCCTCGTTCGCTTGAAATCAAACGAATCCTAAACAACAAAGATGAAATTGTGTGTCAGTACAATTGCAGCCAATACCACTATTGATCGTATATGTCCTCATGTAAAGCCATGCACGGATTGATAGGTTAAAAGAGATTCAAGTAATGTCTTTCATTAGTCAAGCTGGGACTGTAATTAAGTCAGTGTGTTAATAGAAAACAGCGACCTATTACCATTTAAAGATCTGTGCATGCAATTTGACAACATTGCATTTTCAACACGTTGTTAAAGCATAAAACCTAAAAGTGTGAGTTATGCAGCATAATCAAAACATTACCTTGCGTTGGCTAAGGGTTTACTGCTGATTCTAAGTCACAACAAACTCCAGGTCTGACTAAACCAATGTGACACAAGTTAGCACACAAGCTAATAAAAAAGCGGCTAATTACAGAATTTCAGAAGTTGGCAGCACAATTTTGACAAAGAAGGCGACGTTTTACAATGTAAAGAAACACATTTTGCGTATATGAACACATTAACAGTTTCTTTAATTGAATATATGCGTTTGTATTAGCTATCTCACTAGCTAAATGACAACTCTAACGCTGCAGCAAAGATGAGCGATGATGTACAACACATTGCGATGTACGTTTTAAGTCTGACAATGTTAGCATCATTCCCACTACCAGTCACATATACTTCTACAACCACATAATTCTAATAAAAAGCTACAAGAGACACTGTAGTCATGCTTAATGCCTAGGATGTAGATCATTTTGTCTCCTCATGTAGCCTGTGAATGGATGGAGGAGGCCGACATTAGCAAGTCACCTAGCAGGCTAGCGCAAGCTAGCTAACCGGCTAATTTGCTTGATTGTAATTTCCGTGCTGAAAAAACTCAGTCTGATTAAATTGAGAAAGCATTTACCTGTCCACGATATTGAACTCGTCTTCAAATTTATGGAACCAAATATCGCATTAATAAGTCGTCCGCCAGTAGAAAGTTTGTTTTGCCGGCATTCATCTGCTCCCCAGTATATATATTGTTGACAGTGAACCCGTGCACTACGCCTCGCAGCAACGCGCGATGATGGCGGGAATGTGAAACTTTACAACGGAAATGATAACCGAGAGTGTAAGCATTTCGTCCTCTCGCGATATTTGCGTTGTTTGTATCCATGTTGCCTCCATTGTGAAAGACTTAGCACAAGATTGTGATATTTTATTAGTGCAGATTTCAGTTTGAATGCCTTGTTAAAACTGCAGAGAGGCAAATGTCATACTGTTAATGGCTTATTATTTCGTCGTATCTGTGCAAATAAGTTATGTTGTTTGAACTTATGTTAGTAAGGCGTGTACTGGATTCCGTTTGCAAAGACACTTAGCAGCCAGCCAAAGCTAGCAAGACCCACTTTTGGATTTTAACAACTTGATTGTTTTGAATTGGGATTAGTCGGCTGTTTATTTGTATTTTATCTGATACAGTAGTATTTTTTTCTTTTTTTCAAATCTTTTTGAAAATACTAAAAGCATCTGATAATGCTGGCGACTGGAGCGGTAAGTATTATCAAACGGTTTGCTTTCCTTAGCCTCTCTTTTATTCACACTTTATTATTATTTTTTACCTTTTATGACAAGAAATACTATTCTTAATGCTACCCAACACAATGATACAACTCCAGTACACGTGTAAATACTAAGCTTTTTGTGCCAATCTCTCCAGTAGAGTTGTATAATTTGGTTAAACTGAATGCTAATGTCTACCTCATTTTGCAGACATATATATTTTTACTTAAAAGTCAGAGATCTTTATGGGAGTATCAATTGATGTAGGTTGTAGTTTAAATTAGTTTAAATGTCCGTCAGTTCCACTGAGGAGAAAATGTTAAACAGGGTGGGCGTTAGCAAATTCCATGAAGCTTTCCAGGATTGGATCTGATAGTGAGGAGGAATTAATTTGACTTTCACCTTCCTTTTACAGGCTGTAACTAACGTGACAGCCCTGGCCCAGGTGGACCGGGAAAAGATTTACCAGTGGATCAATGAGTTATCCAGCCCAGAGACCAGGGAGAATGCTTTGCTGGAGCTTAGCAAGAAACGGGAGTCGGTGCCAGACCTGGCCCCGATGCTCTGGCATTCCTGTGGCACTATTGCTGCCCTGTTGCAGGTAGGACCACCAGTCCGCCCTCACTGGGATTATCCAGGCCTCCTCTGGTGCTTTTTCTTCTTATATGTGCCCTGTGGCCCGTGAAGTGTATAATGTTGAAGTCATTACTAAGGAACGTTGTCATTAGTGAATTCATATATCTGTTAAAGCCTTTCAGGCAATCAAAAACCAAACGGTTTGATTAATGGAATCATGTACATTTTTCTTTGTTTGATTTCTTTGTCTTTTTTCAGGAAATAGTGAACATCTATCCCTCCATTAACCCCCCTACGCTCACGGCGCACCAGTCTAATAGAGTTTGTAATGCCCTGGCGCTGCTGCAGTGTGTGGCCTCTCATCCAGAGACACGGTAAAAGTCACAGATAGTCCCTGAATTTAGTCTTGATCCAGAAAAATTGCATAAATAAATGTCATATTAATATACAATGAATTATCTTATTCTGCGCATTCACTATCCATTTTGTTTGACAACTCTGGTCGCCATTATTAAACTGCTTTTAAATCTTCTCAACAGGTCAGCTTTTCTAGCAGCACACATTCCTCTTTTCCTTTACCCTTTTCTGCACACTGTGAGTAAAACGCGGCCGTTTGAGTACCTGCGACTCACCAGCCTTGGAGTAATAGGTAATTCTTCCTTCCTTTATGCAGTACTTTATCTGTTGGTTGCCTGTTACTTATGAGGTTTGAACTTAATTCAGAGTTGGATAGTGTAAGCGACACCTTTTTTTTTTTTGTTTGTCACTTGTAGGTGCCTTGGTCAAAACCGATGAACAGGAGGTGATTAATTTCCTTCTCACAACTGAAATCATCCCGCTCTGTCTCCGCATCATGGAATCGGGGAGCGAACTCTCCAAGACGGTATTTAACTTCACATGTTTTTTAAAATTCTCCTGTCATGTTTGAAATAGGTGCTATTTGATAATCATGTAGCGCAAAATAGTAGTCTGAAGTTATATAGTCCCTCATAATTATGACAATAAATACTGCTGCCATGCAATTTAAACCATGTACTTTGTTTTTCTGTGCTCCCTCAGATTAATAATAACCAGTGCGTGTATGTTTGTTTGTTTTTTCTAGGTTGCAACCTTCATTCTGCAGAAGATACTGTTGGATGACACTGGCTTGGCTTATATATGCCAAACCTATGAACGTTTCTCTCACGTGGCCATGATTCTTGTAAGTGTACGGTTTTAAAGAGGCGTCTGATCTGAATATGACCCCCGCGCCTCACAACAGATCATCTTTTCTGAATCATTGCAGGGCAAGATGGTGCTGCAGCTCTCCAAAGAACCCTCGGCCCGCCTGCTGAAACATGTGGTCCGCTGCTATCTCCGCCTCTCAGACAACCTAAGGTCCAGCAGTTTTCTGCTTCTCATTGTCTCTTATTTAAATGTTTGATTCTATATTATGGATGCCAGACCAACTTGTTAATTGGTCTAATTGATAAAGTTAATTTGAAATGTTACTGGGACTGAGCTGAGCTGATCATTAGCTCTTCCCACTAGGAGGAGCTATGGCAACATTTGAATGATTTCCCACTTTATGCCACAGAAGGCAAAAACTTGCATGACCAATCAAGATACAATTATTTGGTTTTTACAAACATTTATCCAATGCTTTTGTAGTTTTTTAAGACAAAATATGTCACTAAACCCTTAAACTAGCGTGAAAATTTTGTAATATTCCAAGAAAAACTTTTACATTTAATTTATTTAGCTGTTGGTAAGATTTCGACCATGTTTGTTGTATATTTAGCCCACATACTTTTTCAGAATGAAAATATTGGAAGAGAGTGGAAGTTTGCATTGCATCTAAGTACTTCTCAGAAAACACCTGACATCAAGGGGCATTTCTATTTTCCCCCCCGCCCCCATTGATATAAGTGGCTGATCTATTTACTGTTTCCAGAGATTCCACTCAGATGCTTCAGACTTACTTTGCTTTTGCTTTGCGTAAAGCCTCCTTTTGCCTACCAGCCCTAAATGGCGTTTTCAAAAATACCTCTGCACAGATCAATAGCATCTGCCTTTTAAGCCACGAGTAGAAAAATGATGAGGAATGATTATACTCGGAGACACGCTGATGTTTTACCACCAGCGACTGATGTCAGTTGTTTGGGCAGCATTCCCCGAAATCAATGGAGAAATCTCGTTTGACGCTCCCTTGTCTTCTCGTAATGACCTCCCATCACTCCGGAAAAGTCTCCCAGCGATGTCTGGCATGGGTCGGAGTGCTTCGGATCGCTTAATGTTGGAAGTTTAGCCCTTTCAGTGCACGCTGTGGAGAAAGCCCTCTCACTGTCTCCACCTAATAGCTCAGCGTTGTCAATAATGCATGTTAGGAATGCATTTTGTTTTTGTCTTTCATAATAAGCAGAATAATAACTTGTGATCAGAAGAGGTTCTGTTTTCATCTTAATGGAATTTCTATTTCTAAGACGTGCACATTTATAGAAAAGCCTTTGAGTCACTCGCATTAAAAGTGTTTTATTTTAGGACAAAATGGCGTCATTGCACTCGTCTAATTCGTATTTATCCAATTCCTTCCCCAGAGCCAGAGAGGCCCTGCGGCAGTGTTTACCCGACCAGCTGAAGGACAGCACCTTCGCCCAGGTCCTGAAGGACGACACCACCACCAAGCGCTGGCTGGCACAGCTGGTCAAAAACCTGCAGGAGGGCCAGGTGACCGACGCCCGGGGCATCCCACTGGCCCCGCAGTGACCAGTCCACGGGAGCTCGGATCTGACCGACCGCTTAGCATTCGTACTTGGCCCTAACCTCGTGCTTTACAGCACAGTACAGGACAAGGTGGAGGAGGATATTTTTTTGACTTTGGAGTGAATCGATATCTGTTTGAGACACAGCTGTACGTTTTCAGAATTCCTCAGAGGCGGCAGATGCTCTGACAGGACACCGTGGATATTTGACAGTTACTTAATTCATGAATTAGACATTGGCTTGTGTTTTTCTCTGGAAAGAAACATTTCTTGTATAAGGATATGTTTAGGAGGGATATTTCTTATTTAATAAACTTTAACGATTACATAAAATACAATATTTTTTCAAGAATATATTTTAAAAAAGAATTGCAATTGCATGCAAACAGACGAATGGTCAGTACTGAATCCTAAATAAACATTTCGCTGCAGTGGACATGAGGCAGTTTCTCTCTGAATGTCAACATACTGGTCAGCAGACATCGCAAAAAACTGTTAAAATAATGGCGTTCCTCCATTTTTTGTTCAATTCCACATGTTTCTGGAACATTTCCATTGTACAACCTGTTCATTTGTGCTTTAAAAAGATGCTTGGATTTTTTAAAAAAATTACCTTTTGTATCGGTTTGTCTTTCTTTAGAGTTTCGACATTGTCTTGAGAGGTCTAAAAAAGTATTTATTTTTACTATTGTGTGTTCAAGAAACCCAGTCTTGAGACATTCTCCTTTATTTTAAAGGGAACCATTTTCATTTAGAACGCAGTGTTAATTTACTTCGGGGAGAAAAAAAAAGCTCAAACTTGACAATTGAGACCCTAAAACAGTAAGATATAGATTAGATAAGAACAGTAAAGTTCGACTACGGGTATCCAACTAAACCCTAAGTTGCCTGTATCTATCTGTACTAAGCTATTTTAGATGAAAATGTCTGCGGCTTACATACATTTAAATGAATTATTTCACCTTTTTAAAATTAAGTATTCAAATAAAATGCAGATTAATTTAATTTCTAAATTAAATAAGAGATAAAATAAGGTAACAAACACAATAAAAAAAAAAAGGATTGGTAAAAAATTTTTTTTTTTTTGTTAATATGTGCGTTACAACATACGTGGGACACGCATATCATCTGGAAAACTTTGACTTTTTCACCATTTAGTTGAAAAAGTAGTTGAGAGGCTCACCTGTTGGGCCTAAGTGCTTCAGCTTACAGTCCCCCAGGCTTCGCTAATGACCCTTTATTTCCTTTTACCGGTACATTAAGAGATTGCAGCCCATGTGGGCCCCATTATCCCAGATGGACATCAGGCATCATGGAAACACCTGCGCTCCATCTCTCTGTTCGGGATCAAAACTGGATCCTATTGGCAGACGACTCTAAGTACGCCCTGCGTCCTCCTGTCTGTTTACTCTGACAGGGGGAAGTGCAACAGTAGCTAAAGTCATTATACATCAGAGAGCCGGGGGGGTGGGGGGGGGCTCAAATGGAGCAGAGGTACATTAGCTGGACCGGGCTGAGCGTGGGTAAAGTGGTGCATTCGTTTTTTCTGTTGCCTTCTTGTTAATCGAATAGCGACTGAAACAACTGGTGGTGAGATTTATACGACCTGACGGTTAGCAGTGTGATTAAAACTGCCTTTTAAAGGTGTGCAAATCAAAGCTCTGCAGTGGGTGGCCCACTGCCAAGTGGTGGGGCGCAGATTCTGGATTCACTCCCCCCTCAGTGTGAAGCAGTTTTTATATTCACTTCAGATTTAAATGTTATTTTATGATGAAAATGAGCCACATTTTGGTGTGTATTTAACCTTGCAGACTGGAGCATTCCCACAGTTTGTGCTTCTCACTGTCTGAGGAACCTGGCCTGTGTCCAGGTCTGTTCTGTCCCGGTGATTGTGTTACCCAGGACCAGGATGCAGACCGTCCCCCCGGAGCCCCCGCGCAGCATCCTCCATCACGGAGGAGGAGGAGAGAAAGCGGGGCCGTGCAGGATGAGGAGCGGTGGAGGCTGTAGCTCCTCTAAGGGAATCAGGTTCTAAGACCCAGCAGTAAAGCTGGAAGGGGAAGGGAGGGGCCGAGCCAGACGGGGCCAGATTTCCCCCCTGAAACACTCGCAGTGTTTTAAAGTCTGCTGAGCTGCCAGTGCCTGGACTCCTACCCGGTCAGTGCAGGACCGGTCTGATGTCCACTCTTCCCCAGGCTCTCTCTCTCTCTCTCTCTCTCTCTCTCTTTCACTGCTACTCCTCCTTCTTTGGAAGCGCTTTGTCCTGAAGACTGCTCCCTTCTGGAGGCCCGAGATCCCATTTCCCCTGTGAGGTCCGTTAGTTTTGTGAGTATATTGTTTCTTTTTCCTATCCCAACAAGGATTTGCACTGTTATCTGTCTGAGTCGTTCTTATTTTCTGTCAGCTGCTGTTGCACGGAGACTCTCAAATGTCTGGCCCTGGTTTTAATTTACTGTTAGCGATCCTCCCCGTGCCGGTTAACCTCACAGTTCTCAGTGGATCTCCTCAGGCCGGCGATGCTGATTCCCCTTTTTTATTTCGCATTCCTCGAGTGGTCACATGCTGGATGAGATGCTGCCCCGAGTAAATCCCATTCAGTGTGGGGGAAATGGAACTTTGCTGAGATGCATCGGACAGATTCATGTGAAATGTCAAGCAGGTTTATGGAAGGGTACCGCTGGCTGCCATTTCCATTCTGTCAGACGTTCCCCTGAGTCATGCCTTTGCGGCTGTTTTTCGGAGAGAGAGGTCCCTGATTAAGTGGCCATGTGTGACTCATTGACCTCAAAATAAAAAAGAAAAACATGGTCTAACTCCAGCCAAAAAGTTTGAATGTCCAAAGGAGGGTGTGTCAACACTTCAACAATAGAAAAACTCAGAAACTTGAATGGAAAATGTAAAAAAAAAAAAGGGCCTCATACAAGGCCCTGGAGCAAAAACCTGGAAAGCTCCACACAATAGTTGATGGAGAAAATTGTTGTGGTTTCAAAATGAGTCTATTTTCCTCAGAGGGGGTGTGAAATCTAGTGGTGAAGCAACTGCAGATGGATTCCAAACAGCACGTCAGTCATGCTGCGGTGAGAAAAGTCTCGTAAAGCTGCCCGGGAGAATCTGGCACGGGGGGATGAAAAAAAACAAGCGCGGGACAATGAGAGGAAAGAAAAAGTCAGCGCACAGGAAAGCGGCTCCGAATCTTCGGTTTCTGGCCCCCCCACCTTTGATCAGCCGGCTATCAGAGAGCAGCAGAGATTGTGGGCAGCAGCTCTGGGCTGCAGAACTCTCCTCCTGGAGGCCAAAACTCTGTTTCGAATCACTGAATCCTGCTGAGCGTGCAAGAAAAGTTCTAGCGTCGGAAAGATTTGCATGACCTAATAGCTTAATAATCACTGAAATGCTACAGGAATGTCGGAGGACACACAGAGAGTTTGTTATCCCGGTTTCTTGATTGAAATGCAGGTATTGATTAAAGCATTTTTCAAAATAAGACGCCTTATTTGCTTTTTTAGTGGCTTGATATTCAGCGTAAACAATTGCAAAGTCAACAGGAAGGAACAAAAGGGCAATTTTGTGAGACAGTCCATCTCATGGCTGGACAAAGGTTGCATTCTTCCTCCAAATGAAGCTTTAAAATAAACCCTAAATTGTACAGTGACATTTTCAATACATGATACATAAAACTAATCGCAAACAGTTCGTCTTAGACTAACTGCAGCATAATCAATAAACCTCAGAGAAGTCAGAACGTGTGCAGTTCCAGCCCATGTGGTGGAGGCCTGCACACACTGCCGAGTGTGCGTTTTTTCTCTTAGTCAGCACACCCGCCTCTCTGCCTCCATCTGATCAAATACTAAAGATCCAAAAGATTATATGTATATATCAAGAGTATATCAAGGCTGAAATGTTGCCTTGTGCTTCTTGGAAATAGGACAATGTATTGTTGGCTCAAGAAGGCCGTCTTCCGTTGTGATTTATTTCGGGGCGACTTATTGTTTTGTGCGAGGGCATGCTCCCAAAACAAACGGCCTGAAGAAAATAAAGCCACAAATCATCGTAGCGCAGCCCCGTGAAACAGATGGATTCTCAAAACGATACTAAAATATGGAACAAACAATGCCGAGCATAGAAATCTTCCACACCATCTTCCAGATTCTCTTTCTTGTTCTGACAAAGCAACACATTGCGAAGCAAAAAAATGAAGATATGCAAAAAAAAAAATGTATCAGAACCTAGGAAAACCTTCTGTTTTGTCATCCAGGTTTCTACTTTTCCAAAATGTATTTGGTTTGGATTCATCCAGAGGAATCTGAGGCAGTTGGCTGACATCTGTTTCTTTTTAGGAGGATTTTTCCACTGGCAAATATGTCCAGGATAGAGACGGCTACTGAGGCTTCATGTGAGTCAATGCTATTTTTTATCTGGCTGGTTTGCTTTTTTTTCATTAAATGGATTATGGTGTAATTACAATTTGTGGGGAAACCTTTGCGGAGGGAACCTGGGCTATGATGTTCACTGACCCCTCGTCCACAGGTATCCAGAGCGATCCCAGTGTCCAGCTGATGATCGGCGGGTCCACTCTGAGGAAAGTCAAATCCCGCTCCTGGAAGAAACAGCGGCATTTTCGACTGCTAGAGGACGGTCTGACGATCTGGTACAAGTCCAGATGGACCGGGAAAGGCCACTCCACCTGTGAGTGTGGACACATTTAAATACTCAAATCATTTCTGCTAGATGGGAAACTCAAATGTTGCATGAAATAAATTAGCTTTTCTTGCCATTTCCTCTTTTCTCCTCAACCATTTTACAAAAAACCTTAACAGAAGATGTATTTAAAAGCAAAATTTCCTCTCAGGCTTCACAGAAAGCCCTTCCCTTTCCTATTACACTGGACAATTGCTGGAAAAGATTTTAGAAATTTCTGGTTCTCATAAAAAATACTCAATCTGCCATTTTCACCTAGCAGGGAATAAGTAATCGGAGATCTGATTGGTTCAGGATTGTAAACCTGTTGGCCTGAAATATCTTATTATTACGTTTTCACTTAAAATAAAACCTTTCGTTGTTGGTCAAAAGTATACACTGTATTGACTTAAGTCAAGTAAAGCTCCTGATTAAACCTCATCACAGGAAAATGAACAAAATAAAACGTAAGAGCTTTGTTACAAATGAACAATCAGAAAGCCAAATGCAGGACAAAAAGATTCAGAAGCCTCATTTTAGAGGAAATCAATTGTAAAAGTTGACCGGAAGGTGGGTGATGATAAGTAAGAATAGCAGATAAAAATCCCAGGAATAGAGAATGGGGGTTGGATGGCACCAGACTGAGGACTGTACAGATGATGGAACCAGAAGACAGAGAGACAGGGACATTTTTCACAATTTCACTATTAACCCTATAATGCCAAATGTGTCATATTTTATACGGTTTCTGAAGTCTTTTGGATCTGAAACTTTTTGCATCATTCAGTGGTAAAAGCTTTGCTCAAACCCCTGTTGTACACATTCAGATATACCTGATAACAGCCAGTAGAAGACTACACCAACGTATATTTTTGACTTATTGCATGCTAATTTGATCAAAACAATTTCTGTTTTTTTTTATATGTTGTTGAGGGACCAGACTTAAAAAATCCAATATTCTTCCTATTTTTCTTGGATCGGGCTTTAAAGGGTTAAGTAGGATTAATGTTTGTTCTGAGAAACATTTAGAAAGATGAAGTAAGCTCAGAAGCGTGAAAAGAAGATTAAGCAATTCTAGGAAAAGACTCAGAAAAAGGACTCGTTGTGTTAAAATATACGCCAAAAAACAGATTAAAAAGTTACAACTGATAAGAATCCATCTAAATTACTGTGACATCCATCAGTTTTTTTAAACGTTTTTATTAAATCATTTCATATATTGATTTTTTTTTGCTTGTTGTGAGAGCGATTGTTTAATGAACAGCCCCACAAAAGGACATTTGATCTGACCAGTCCTACCAGAGCCCACATTTAAATGAACTTTGTTCTCTGACCCCCCCGTCTCAGTCTCAGTGATGGAGGTGGAGGCGGTGCGTGAGGGTCACCAGTCCGAGGTCCTGCTGAGCGTGGCCGACGAGTTCCCCGCTGACCTCTGCTTCACCCTGGTGTTCCACGGCCGCCAGGGCACCCTGGACCTGGTGGCGGAGTCCCCCGAGGAGGCCCGGGCCTGGATCCAGGGGGTCCGCACGCTGATCCACAAGGCCCAGAGCATGGACGAGCAGGAGAGGCAGGACCAGTATCCTTTAAGTAAAACAGCTGAGGGGGGACGGGGACTGAACACTCGATTGAGTTATTTGCTGATAAATGACTTTAGTCGGTACCATCTTTTCACTGGCGTTTTCTTCAGCAGCCTCTTAGATGGGTGCGGGACTGGTTTCAGAAAGCCGACAAAAACAAAGATGGGAAGATGAATTTCAAAGAAGTAAAGAAGCTGCTAAAGATGATGAACGTTGACATGAACGAGGACCACGCTCTTCACCTCTTCACGGTAAAGATGTGAAAAGTTGAAAAATCTTGTTATTACTTTATGTATTACTTTTAACAGATTTTCAGGGTTTTTCTAAACCAGATTTCTACATGTTGCTGGTAGTTTAAGCCTGGTGATAACACAGATGGGATGCAAAATAAAAGACTGGCACATTCGTTCAAAAATGTGTCATTTGTTGTAACTTTTTAAAGCCTGACACATGAAAAAATAGAGGGAAATGTTAATTTATTTTGGTCTGAAGTCTTCATGAGAAAAGAAAAACATAGAAAATCCTTTTTGAAAAGTCAAAATGACTGTCATATAGTCGTGTTTCTGATTGTCTAAAACAGGGTTTTGAGCAAAGTTTTTACGAGTTTATGATGAGAAAGATTTCAGAAACTGTATGTATCATATTTGATACATAAGGTTACGTAGAGTTAAAGAAAAGAAAGGTAAAAAAAGGCCCTCATTATTTCCGCAGATGGCAGACAAGTCGGACAGTGGCTCTCTGGAAATCGAGCAGTTTGTGCACTTCTACAAGATGCTGACTCAGCGGGACGAGGTGTGGAAGGTGTTCCAGGACTACTCGGAGGACGGGGAGAGGCTGATGTTGGATGAGCTGGAGACCTTCCTGAGGGTGGAGCAGCACGAGGGGGACCGGAGCCCCACCCGGGCCCGAGAACTGATGGAGCGCCACGAACCCTCTGAGACAGGTGGTTACGGACTCATCTCCACACCTTTACCTCCACACCGGTGCACGTTTGAGCTGTTTCCCTTCACTGATTCTCAGATGTCACTGAATTGATTTCAAACTGGATCATCTATGAATCATCCCTGACAGGACAAACAGGAAAAGGACCTCCTCTAGTTACTTCCTTGTTTGGGTTACAGCTGTCATTATGACTGTAATTGTAAAAACGGAGGACATTTTTTCCTTAAAACACTCATCTCTGTTCCAGCTCACAGACCTTCTTTGGCTATGTTTGAATATAGATGGCTTCACAGTGTTCATAGCTTTATTCCCTAGACAGGATTTGAGGAAAATGTTTCCAAAGTCTTGACATTTTCCTAATCCATACATTTCCCAAAGGAGGTTTCTGTGAACCGACCATGCAGCATACCCATTTTTTTTGGTTTCTTTAAGAAATTAAATAGATTATACATGCATGGCTCGGCAAAAAGAACAAATAGAAGCCAGAATATTTTGGTATCAATGTTCATGTCCTCAAAAATCTGCCAAAATGGGCACAGACTATTTTACGAGATCCTACATGACATAATTCAACTGTAAGGATTTGTCTTCTACTTAAAATTAGTACAGCACGGTAGAGTTTTGTTTTCATGGTGGAATTTCTCGGTCTTGGCTTGTGTGTTCCCACTGTGCAGCCAAGAAGCAAGGTGCCATGTCCCTGGACGGCTTCCAGACCTACCTGTGCTCCCAGGACGGCTCCGTCTTCAGCCCCCAACGCCAGGAGCTCCACCAGGACATGAGCCGGGCCCTCAGCAGCTACTTCATCTCCTCCTCGCACAACACCTACCTGCTGGAGGACCAGCTCCGGGGACAGAGCAGCGTGGAGGCCTACATCCAGTGAGGCCCACGGGGACCGAACTGCAGAGAACCCAGATATAGTTCCAGTGATACACACCATCTGGAGAAATAAGACGATGCTAGCGTAGCTCTAAAAAGCCAACACTGTGTATTTCTGATAGATTACTATCCAAGCTAACAGAGAAATGAAAGATATTACTGAGAAAAGAAGGACTGGCAGTGGAACAGTTCTGGGGTTTGTCCTGGATTAGTAATAAAAGTCATCAAAGCGGTTTTGACCGATGGATGTGTTAGCCCGATTCTTTAGTTGGAAACCTGAGAATAAACCGGAGTGGATCAAAAGTATAAAAAATGTACATTTATTGGGTCATAGAACGTCTCTCTCAGGGTCTCAAAGAGCCCCAAACTCGTGTGTATTTATCTTCTGGGCTGGGTACACCCCTCCAAAAGGACAGGACCAGTTACTTACTACCCCTAACCCTGACATGAACAGGCCAGGTCCTAATTAATGCAGATAACGTTGAAATGTGGTAACAATGGTGAGTTTTTGTGTTGACCTGATGGAATGTGATAACAAATGGTGTGGAACTGATGCAACCACAAAAAGAAAACACACAGCCAGAGACTTTGACACAAAGTTATGGTTCTATAAGGAATACATCAATCAGTAATTGACATAGATAATGTGATGTTATGCTAAAGTGAGTCATTATAGCCAAATTCTAACAGATGTGTCGACACTGAACTGTTAATGGAGAACGACCCAAACACTGAGAAATCCTCCCAAACGTGCGCGTGTGTGTGCATGTGTCCGCAGGGCCCTGAAGAGAGGCTGCCGCTGTGTGGAGGTGGACTGCTGGGACGGCAGCGACGGGGAGCCCGTGGTGTACCACGGCCACACCTTAACCTCCAAAATCCTGTTCAGAGACATCATTTCCACACTCAAGGAATACGCTTTCAGGGTGAGTGGTGACAGCTATGTGACCGAAACGTAATTCTTTTCTTCTGCTGGTGTCCAACCTAAGAGTTCACCTCTTTCTCATTTTGCTACAAAACAGAGGCCAGGCATAAATGGTTTTACCCAACACACTCTCATAAATAAACCTCTAACGAAAAGCACTTATTAAGTCCACAGGCCTCTAATTACTCAAAAATGGAGGCGAACAAAACCATAACCATTTGCAAACCAACATCCCCAGAGAGAAGGTCTAATTCATAGCGCTGGATTAATGGGGAGGTCACAGGAGGACGTCCCAGTGTTCCTCCTGCTGGCACGGAAAAACGTAGATTTTCACCTGTTGCTATTCCCTCTAATAGCCTTTGAAAAAGACACCAAACCTGACATGTTTCAGGGATTATTTTGTCCCATTCTTGGGTACACAGCATGGTTTGTCCTTTCTCTTTTCACAGACCTTTGCATTGTGGGCGGCCAAAGACTGCTGGCAGGAACCCGTCTCTTTCCTGAGAAATGCTTTTGTAATTAGTCCAAAATATGGTTTTGAATAATATTATTTTAAAAAGGCCTGGAGGTCTTTAGATAGGATATGAACTATTCTGTATTATTGCTGCTATCTGAAAATGTGAGTGAGATTGATGGAACCTCATTCTGTCTGGCTTTTGGACATTTAAAAGTCTGGATTATCCTTCTTGTCTCTGGTCAGCATCAGGCAATCTTGATTTCCAGAATCTTGAATTCTAATTGGTGAAAAAAAAATATTGGTAGTTTGCGATTAAACCCTTTGTAGCAGATCAGAAATCAGACGTATCAATCCCAGGCTGGTACATTTTGAAATGTGCTTCCAACCTTTTGCTTTAACTGTGCACCGTATTGAGAGAAAAGTCCAAATCGCCTCCAATCTGCCCACATCTTTTGGATTGTGTTGTCTGAGATGCGAAAATTGGGTTTATTAACACATAAAAAAGAAGGTAAACAGATAATACCTACAGCCTTGGGTTTGTTCTATCATCGGTGGAATATAAAGGATAACTAAATGCCTTAATCCCTGCACTTTTTTGTTAGTTTTGTTGCTCGGGCAAATCCTCAATTGGCCAAAATTCTAAACATACATCAAACTTTTCGACAGGCCTCGGATTTCCCCGTCATCGTGTCTCTGGAGAATCACTGCGGGGTGGAGCAGCAGACCGTCATGGCCAAACACCTCAAAGACATCCTGGGTGACATGCTGCTGACAACCCCCCTGAACGGACAGGTCCCCCAGCAGCTTCCTTCACCACAGGTCAGAAACCATTCAGGTTCCGGCAAGCATTCGTCTTATCTGCGAAAACCCTAAACCGTGTCTTCTATAGCTGGATCGGAAATATCGGTGCAAATGACTCAACTTGGGTGCTGCAGAGCATCGAGAGATTTCAAAGATTCAAACTTTTTCTATTTGAAAAGGATTCTGGTATAGTAATGATGGCCCGATTCTTTAGTTGGAAACCTGAGAATAAACCAGAGTAGACCAAAAGTAGAAAAATAACATTTATTGGACACAGTTAAGTGTATCAGCACTGGGCTCTGACAGACAAAAACCTCTCTCTGGGTCTCAGTGGGCAAAGAGCCCTGAGATCTGGGTGATGGGCATTATCTCCTGGGCTCCATCCGCCTCATCAAAGGAGGACTGGACACAACCAAGTCCTATTGGCTAGTTACCTCTGGGCATAAACAGGCCAGGTCCTAATTCATGCAGATGACAGGAATGTGGTAACAAATGGTGTGTGTGTATGTTGACCTAAAGGTGGATCTAATGCAACTGAGAAAGAAAAAGAGAGAAAAGAGAGTCTGTGGACACAGCCAGAGATTTTAACACAAAAGTATAGCTCTAAAAGGAATACGTCAATCTGTTATTTACATAGATCGTGTTATAGCATATAATGCTAAGGTGAGTAATTATAGCCAAATTCTAACAGTAAGTAAACCAACCAACAAACCTATTTTCCATTAGAGCACAAATGACTAATAAAACTAACTGGGATTAGAGGCAAAATGCTACAAGGCATTCTTTGGAAGGTTTTGGGCAATGAAATAGTGGTGCGAAGAAGACTGGTTACACATGCACATGTTTTTTGGCTTTGCCCTGGTTTGGTTACATTTTGGGATGATGTGCATTGTACAATTGTTGCAATACTTGGCTACCATATACCCAAAAACATTCACAGTATTGTATCTTGGAAATGTCTGAGGAAATATTTTGTGTAAATCTGACAGGTACCTGTTTAAAATCCTGATCGCTGCCAGTAAAAAAAAACAATTACCAAAAATTGGTACAAAGAAGACGAACACCCCCCTGACAAAGAGGACTGGCTGAAAATGGTTGAGGACATATATTTCATGGAGGACTTGACCCACAGAATAAGACTAAAGATGGACTCCTGTGTGGAAAAATAGACAAAGTGGATTACTTACATTGCAGTGACTAATTGAACATATTGGGGCATTGTTTGAGTCATATCCCAATCCGGACAGTATATAGATTTGTTTATATTGTGTGTTTGTTTTTGTTTTTTCCTCTCCCTTTTTCCTTTTCAAACCTTGTAATTGTCAACAAAGATAAATTGGAAAAAAATGGAATAGTGGCCCGTTACTGCATTTAGTTGCCAGAAAACACTGTGTGTTGCATCAGCTTAGCAGACAGTAACACACTGATCTAATGATTGTTTCCTGCAGGAGCTGAGAGGGAAGATCTTGCTGAAAGCAAAGAAGATCGGCGGTCTAGAAGAGTGCCTGGATGAAAGCCTGACAGATGAAGTCAGTGATGAGGAGGAGACGGCCAACGGCGAAGCGGATAGTCCATCTACAGAAGATCTACCAACTGAGAAGGACAAGGTAGAATCGCGGGTCGATGCTTTGACCAAACCAACATTCTGCTTGAAGCATGTAGACAATCTGACATCCGCTAAAATAATTTCCAAATAAGGCTCACTGGCACTGAACCTAATGCATAAGCTAAATAAAGAAATATGACATGCAGGTTCTTTTACCCAAAGCCTTGTGCCCATTCAGGATGGCAAACGCAATCTAACTGGAAATTATTACCTGCTTACTTTTGTTCTCTTGGATTGCATTGGTTTTAATTGAATTTTTTTGGATTTGAATGCACTATATTGAATTTTTTTTTAATTATTGGACTAAACCGAAGCCCAATTGACCATAAATCGAGTGAGCCTCTTCATCAGGTTACTTCCTGACTACTTTTGTTGGGATTCAATGCTACAGTATCAAGCTTAACTGTAAAATGTACGTTAAATGTAGTAAAACAAAGGTAGGGTACATGAATCTCACAACATTTAAAGTAGCTTTAGTCCGTTTTGGAAACTTGTGTTTTAGCAAATAATTACCAAACAATAGTTCAATGTAAGTTACTTATCGACACTAAACACTAAGATATTTTATGTACAAAAAAACTTTATTTATTAAACCTTATGTAGGCTGGACAACTGTACTTCCATGTTATATATTTTACACTAAATCAGAATTATTGAGTAGATTACACATGTACTAACATGCTGTCACTTGTGAAGTAAACTAGATTAGAATCTCGTTTATCTGAATAAAAAAGGTTACATCTTAACTCTTGTCTTCTGTTTACAAAAAGTACAAAAATAGTACCAGAGCGGCACATGTGTCAACATTACCGATCTTTAAAATTAAACAAGTGAGAGCAGTGTTACAACTGGATGGAAAGAGCATTTCTTTAACTGAAAAATGTTATCTCTCCCCCTGTAGAAGAAATCCAAATTGTCCAGGGAACTGTCGGACTTGGTGGTTTACTGCAAGAGCGTGCACTTCCACGGCTTTGAGCACGCTCGCTCCCACACCAAGTGCTATGAGATGTCTTCATTCTCGGAATCCAAGACTAAGAAGCTTATCAAAGACACAGGTGATCATCACAGAATGCTATAATCCCTGTGAGCAAAAAAACACAATGCAACGTGCCGTTTATTGAGCATACAATAAATCTGCTTCTGGAGGTCTCCGTCTGTAGCTGAGTTAGTCGAATTAAATGCCAAATGGTGTTCTCTCCTCAGCGACAGAGTTGGTGCAGTACAACACGCGTCAGCTGAGCAGGATTTACCCCAGCGGCCTGAGGACGGACTCCTCCAACTACAACCCGCAGGACATGTGGAACGTGGGCTGCCAGATCGGTATGGGGGGGAGTCGTCCTCTACTGGTTCAACAAATTTTCCATTACGAAACGATCTAGTGTATTTTTTTATGAGGAGGGTGGCATGGTGGTGTGGTGGTTAGCACCGTCGCCTCACAGCAAAAAGGTTCTGGGTTGGAGTCCCCGGGGGAACCAGGACCTTTCTGCCAGAGGGTTCTGGGTTGGAGTCCCGGGGGAACCAGGACCTTTCTACCAGAGGGTTCTGGGTTGGAGTCCCCAATGGAACCAGGACTTTTCTGCCAGAGGGTTCTGGGTTGGAGTCCCTGGGGGACCCAGGACCTTTCTGCCAGAGGGTTCAGGGTTTGAATCCCGGGGGACCCAGGACCTTTCTGGGTGGAGTCTGCATGTTCTCCTGTGTCTGTGGGTTCTCTCCGGGTTCTCCGGCTTCCTCCCACCGTCCAAAAACCTGCATGTTAGGTTGGTTGGGCATTCTAAATTGCCCCTTAGTGTGAGTGTGCGTGGTTGTGTGTCTCTGTGTGGCTCTGCAATGGACTGGCGGACTGTCCAGGGTGTAGCCCGCCTCTCCCCAATGACCACTGGGATAGGCCCCAGTCCTCCCCATGACCCCATTAGGGAATAAGCGGTAATGATAATGGATGGATGGATGGATGGTTTTATGAGGCTCCGGTATGTTTGGGGGGGGTGGGAATGCATGTGCAGGGCTGTGTAAGAGGCACACAACGGTCACTCAGCAGGAGGAGTTGGTCGGATTGTTTTCTGCTCTGCTTCCCTCCCAAAGTGGCTCTGAACTTCCAGACGGCCGGGCTGGAAATGGACCTGAACGACGGGCTTTTTAGGCAGAACGGCGGCTGCGGCTACGTCCTCAAGCCAGACTTCCTGAGAGATCCCGGCACTCAGTTCAGTCCGGACAAACCTGAGGAGCGACCGGACTACAACCCCCTCCGCTTATCAATACAGGTTCCAAACGCAGAATTTTTACATCAAAGGACCGATAAGTAGGGAAATGCACATGAAAGCAAACTCTTCCTCTAACATGCGGCCGTATGTTTATGCTGACCAGGTGCTAAGTGGGCAACAGTTACCAAAAGTCAATCAGAAGGAGGGCTCGATTGTGGACCCACTGGTCAGGGTGGAAGTGTACGGTGTACCCCAAGACCAGGCCAAGGAAGAGACCAGCCACATTAACAACAATGGTGAACAATAATCCGTCTCATGTAGAGATGCTTTGGACAAGAAAAGGTGGAAGAACAATAATGCGGAGTGGAAAAAGAGCCCGGAAGACATTTTTCTATGTTTTAACCCGCTCGTTTTCAGCCCTCCGCTGCCTCTGTCTGCAGGCTTTAACCCGGTGTGGAACGAGAGTCTGAGTTTTGTGGTCCACGCCCCCGAGCTGGCGCTGGTTCGCTTTGTGGTGGAGGATTATGACAAGGCGTCCAGGAACGACTTCATCGGACAGCTCACCCTCCCGTTTTCATGCATCCAGACGGGTGAGCGGCAAACAAACAGGAAACCCTAAAACTCGATACAAAATCGGAAAATGAGGGACTCCAGAAATCTGCCGGTTATCAGTGGCTAGAAGTCAGCACCTGCATGCAGATTGGTCTGACTACTCTCTATTTTAGGCCCTTCCAAGCTTGTTAAAATACTTTTTAGCCACGTAACTATACATTTTCACCATCATAATCAGTCAAAATTGTATGTTTATCAATTTGACTACGAGACGGTTTGAAAAGGTTTTGGAAATCTGTCAATATGAGCTGAAATATATTAGGATTTTTAGGAATAATGTTAATTACTTACTTCATAATTTCAAATAAACATGCTTGAATATTGATGGTTGTCTCTGGTGACAGATTATGGCAAATTCATGATTTATTCAGCACAACTAACAGCTCATTGAAACCCAACTCTGCCTTCCTCTTTCAGGATACCGTCACATACACCTGCTCTCTAAAGATGGAACGCCAATCCCTCCCTCATCCCTCTTTGTTAACATCAGCATTTCAAAGTTCGCCTGAAAAGGGCAAAGTGGGAGGATGTGAAGCCAGAGGGGGGTTTAATGTCGGGTGTGTCCACTAACCTGACAGAGACTGTAAACAGCATGCGTACGCAGTCACACTCTGCTAATCTGTCAGATCAAAAGGTTTATTTTAGGGCTAAAATCTTTATAAAAAATATTTATTGAATTTCTTTCTATAATCCAAGGCAAAAAATGTGAGAGAACACAAGCGACCACAGCGTCTCAAGACTATTGAACACCAGTAATGAAAGTTCATGGTTGACACTTAGAAAATACAGGAATATTTAGCCCGACTGTACAGTAATAAATCTAGAAATACAGCCGGCTTTGCATCAGGTCGGTTCCTTTGCTGTTAACTTACCAAGTGCCTGCTTGAATCAAATATTTATACTCACCAGTGTTTGAAATTTCAAAGATTATGTTGCACATAATGTCAATTTGTGTCAATCTGTCTTTTTAATTTGTCAAAATGATTAAGGTCTGATGAATAGAATTTGGAAACACACTCAATTCATCATTGTGTATACTGACCAGTCTGGTCGAATCTAAATAAAGACAGATTCGGACATCTCTACCGTGTTCCTGCTTTGTTTTGTCCTGTTTCCGCACCTAGAAGTCGCCCGCTGGTCGTTCCTGGTGGTGCTTTCTCGTCTAACGTCCCCTGGAGGGCCTCCTTTAGAGTGAGGCTGCCGGTTGCCGAGTCCCTCAGCACGCCCTGCTCCACGGGCACCTGGGGGTGGTGCTTCTGCAGGTGCTTGACCACCTGGAACTTCTGCTTGGCCCTGTAGGGGCAGTGGCGGCAGCCGAAGGGCTGCTGCATGGTGTGGGACAGGAAGTGGTGGCGGAGGCCGGCCGGCCAGCGGAAGGCCTTCTGGCAGAGGCCGCAGGCGTACGGCCGGCCGGCGCGGTGCTGCCGCTGGTGCGTCTTGAGGATGAAGCTGGTTTTGAAGGCCTTGCCGCACTCCTCGCACACGTAGGGGCGCGTCTCGCAGTGCTGCGTGGCCCGGTGCACGCGCAGGGCGTCGGCCCGGTTGGTCCGATAGTCGCACTCCTCGCAGGCATAGGGCTTCTCTCCTGCAGGCCAGAAAAGAAAATGCGCTGACGTACTCACGGTCAAGCTCTCTGGACGTTGGACCTTTTGGTCTGCCAGGTACCTGTGTGCTTGGTCATGTGGTACTTCAGCTGAGTGGCCCACTTGCATTTGTAGCCACACTCTGGACAGAGGTACTTCTTTTCTTCTTGGTGAACTCTCATATGAAGCTTTGGGGAATATAACATTTGATTAAAACAGTATCTGATGACTTTTTATCTCTGCTACTGTCATTACGCCTACCCGAAGCAGGGTCCGTATCCATGGTTCCTACTTATCTTTCCCCCTTCTATTTCTAAGCCAGGGTCTGTATCTCTGCCCGGTCGGGGAGAGGCTGGGGTGGCTGATCATAGTGCTGCTTAAAAAGTGTAATGGACACTCGCCATCAAAGACTCTACCCAAGATTCTTTGTTGTATGTGTTTGAAACTAAAAAATAGGAACTATCCATTAGGAAGTTCAAGCCAAAGTGGGGGGCGGACCTTGCAGCATAGCAATGATCCAAACAATTGTAGTAAATCTACAAATGAATGGCACAAAGGAATTTGGAAATGAGTAAAAAAAAAGCTAAGAAAAAGACCTTTATCCTGTTTTTTTTTTTTAGATTACTTAAATTGGGCTGGTTCATAACAATCAGTTCCTCACCATCAGCGGGGCATTTCTTTTTTAAATGGTCTCAATCAAAAGAGAAAAAATGGTCTACTATGGTTTTATTATGGTTATTATTATTGTTATTATTATCATTAATATTATGTTATTGTTATGTTATTATTATGGTTTTATGGTCTATTATGTTTTCAAACCATTATTTTTTAATAGCTTTTTTGGCATCACTGACCAGTGAATAAATGACTATTTTTTAGGTTGTGATGTACTACATCAAATGAATCTGTGAATATAGTAGGGAAGTAGATTGCACGTTCATATTTCTCAAAAAATAACTAGTTACCCAACGAAATGTCCTGTTTTTACAAGGACGGCAATAGAAAGTGCAGCACATGGATTACGCACCCGGTGGGAAACCGTTCATGAGGTGTAGTCTCCCTTACAGCCTGAGCTTACCTTGAGTCTGGAGGGATCCGTGCAGGCGTAGGCGCACTGCTCGCAGCGGTAGGGCTTCTCTCCGGTGTGGATGCGCACGTGCCACGTCATCTTCTGCTTGTTCCGCGTGGAATACTGGCAGTCTGCGCATTTGTACAAGCGCCGGCTTCCGAGGGAGCGGAGGTGCGGCTCCCGCACCGGCTGGTGGCCGCCCTCCGGGAAGCCTTTCCCTGGGGAGCCTTCCTCCAGGGGGCCTTCTTCCAGGGAGTCACCCTCTGGGGAGCCACCCTCCTCTTGGTCCAGGAGGTGTTGGTCCAGCCCCTGCTTGGTCTGGGCTGCAGAAGGGCCCAGTTGACTCCGGTGGGCTCTCTGGGGCTCCACCTCAGAGGCTTCTTTAGTCGGACAGTCGGATTCCTGGCACTGGACTTGGGGGTGCCCGTTCTGCTTGGGGGCCTTTGGCGCCTTGCCTCCGCTGGCCGGGAGCCGGTGCGCAAGTTTGCAACGCAAGCCTCTGGCTTTCGGATGATTTAACTTCTTCTTCTCGGCCACCGATGAGCAGCGGCCGCACGGGGCCCCCCCAGGCTTCATGCAGCCCCTCTTTAAGGGGCTTTCTAATGTTCTTGTCTGGCCGCGCTTAAACGGACAGTTCGGACAAGCGAAAAGTTCCGGTTTGTTTGAATATTTCTTCTCCGCAAGGCCCCCTCTGCTGTTCGGCGAACCCTTACTGCTGTCAACATCTGTTTTAGAAACCGCTTGCCGTTTTTTGCTGCTGCTTAAACAGCTGCAGGCTGGCAGGTGGCGTTTGATTACCGGCAGCTCCACCGAGGAGAAGCCGCACAGCTTGCATTTGAATTTTCCACCTTTTTTGATGTACAGACCCTTGATCTGGAGCGGGGCTTTTCTGTGTCTGCCGGCTGACGGCTGCTTCCCGCCTTGAGTTTTGCTCTTCTGACGCTCTGATGCAGAGGTGCCAGATGTGCAGGGCCCAGGTTCTGGCCTCTGAATCTCGGCGGGCTTTCCGTCGGACGCTTCTCCGTCTCCGGGAGAGACGCGTGCCGATCCCTGTGTGCCACGCCCACGCTTTTCTCTGAGGCGGCGTTCAGGGCCGCGCGTTCGGGGCCTTAAAGCCGCCTCTGTGTGTCGGGAGCGTTTTTGCTCGCGGTGAAAACCGCCTCCGGTGGGCAGCACCAGCACCTGCACGCGGCCCTCCAACACCATGGCCTCCGCCTGGTCCCTGTCGTGCTTTTTCATAGCTATCAAACGTGTTTCGGACTGTAACGTCCGGTCTTGTCCGGGCGGGGACTCGCGGTCGTTTGTCTCGCCGCCGTTTTCCTCCTCCGACCTTTGATCCCGGGCGCTCAAAGGCTCACGCGATTCGTCCAAATGGCTCTGACCGCCCTCCCTGTCTCGCGCCACTGCGTTGTCTTCGTCCGATGAGCTTTCTTGAGCGGAGTCGCCTTCCTTTTCCCGCGTCCAGTCGGGCCCGTCGGCCCTTAACGTGGACGCCATCCCGCCGCCTTGACCCTCGTCCGGCGCCGGCGGGCTCCGCTCGTCCGTGCTGGTCAGAGCGGTCAGCACCAGCGTGCAGAACTGCTCCGGACTGTCCACAGAAGCCTTTGGCTCCTCTGGGATGCCGCCGGCCAGTTCGGACCGCTGACCGCTCCCCGCCGGCCCGCTGTAGAAGTCCTGCCCAAGCTGGTTGGAGCTTCTTTCCTTCTCCTTGGCCGCGTAGTTCTCCAGCCAGGCCTTGTCCCCTGGCACGTACCCGTGGGCCTTCTTCTTGTGGAGGAAGAGGCTGACGCTGCTGAAGGAGGAGTAGGGGCAGAGCGCGCACGGGAACTCCTTCAGCCGGGTGTGCTTGCAGTTCTCGTGGTTCCGGAGGGCCTGCCGGAAGCCGGTGCTGTAGGGGCAGTACTTGCACTTGAACGGCGTGGGCTGCCTCCCCTCCTCCGAGTGCTTGGCCAGCATGTGATTGCGGAGCTCGTACTTGCGCTTGCAGGAGTAGGCGCAGATCTCGCACATGAGCGACTTGGCCTGGTGGCGTAACTTGTGGCTGCTGAGCTGGTCCATGCGGTGACAGCGGTACGGACACTGATCACATGAGTACCTGGGAAGGGAAGCAGAAAGTCTGGTCATCTTGTTGGGTTAAGAACACTCTACCATCGATGCTACAAGAATGATGAGGAAATAGCTCATTTAAAAAAAATGAAGACACCATGCTCTATATTGATAGGTGAAGACAAGGGAAATAATAGGGCTAGGATCTGAGTTCGACCTAATCGTTTGGAGAATTTCTTATTGGGCTACGTGCTTCTTGTTCTGTCTCATGAAATGTCGTGTCCGAACCAAGCCGATAGCAAAGGCTGATGTAAAAAGCAGCCGACTGGTGATTGGTCGGAGAATGTGTCCACCTTTGAAAAGCATGTCTGCAAGCAGCACATGCTGCTTCTGATCCCACTCACATGGGGGGAATTGTGTGGAAGATAAAGCCAGGAGGAAGGGGTCATGCTGAATGGAATTGTACCACTGGATACCGCCTCATGGAAGAGCCCTCCTGAGCTCCAGGTCTGGTTTCGCTTCGGCTCTGACTCGAGAGAAATGCAACCCGGCTGTGTCGACCAGCGGTCACATTACATCAGCGGATCTGAGTTGCATTTCAGGCAACGCGTGCACATACAGCAACTGCCTTCAAATCCCAGAAACTAAGAAAAGATTCACAAGCTAAGATAAATGATTAAAAAAAGATCTTTTAAAACACAAAAAACTACTATCCATCCATCCATTATCAATACCGCTTATTCCCTGATGGGGTCGCGGGACAAAAAAACTACTATTATGTGATAATTTAACTTTAACCTTATTATACAGCATATTTGTAAATGCAAGTTTTTCAGAATAAAACAACAATATTTGGTCAAATATTAAAATACCATTTTACATTTAGTCAGCCTACGGCATCAGGCTTGGTCGGCTAGCAAAATCACTTGGTATTTAAAAAGATGATCTATTTGTGCTAAGCAGTCCTGAAACTAATTGGAACTATTTACCTGAGGTCTCCAGCGTGCTTCCTCATATGAACATTGAGGTAGTGCTTCCATTTAGTCACATATCCGCATTCGGTGCACATAAAGTTCTTATCGTCCGAGTGAGTGAGCATGTGACGAGAGAGGTAGGACTCGTCTCGGCACCTGAAGTCACACAGGGTGCACTTGTGGGGTTTCTCACCTGGAAAAGAAGAAAGGAGAACAGTGAAAATATGTCATTTAAAGTAGCTCAGACAAAGTGGAAAGACCAGGTATGCTGTGAGGTGCCAATCATAAGGAAAAGGAGTTCAAACTCCAGCGATGGGCTCCATCCTTACCGCTGTGCAGCAGCAGGTGTCGCTTCAGGCCGCGTTTATGCGCGGTCACGTAGCTGCACTGGGGGCAGCGGTGGGTTTTCTCGTTGGCGTGCAGGTGTCCCGTGTGCTGCTCGAACTCCACCGGGTTGAAGGTGGCGAACGGGCAGAAGCCGCAGCGCAGCTTGCGCTCCCCGGGGTGCCCGTGGCGCCGGTGCTGCAGGAACAGCGCCTTGTTGGAGCAGGAGAAAGCGCACTCCGAGCAGTGGTAGGTCAGGTGGGTCCGGTAGTGGGCCTCCATGTCCGGCCGGCTCCGGAAAACGGCGCCGCAGGCGTGATGGCGGCATGCGGCCGCTTGGAGGCCGTGCGCCTCGGACGCGTGTCTGAGCAGCTCCTTCCGCTGGCCGCTCTGAAAGGAACACGTCTCCAGGAAGCAGGCCAAAGGTTTGCTGTCTAAAATGACGTTGTGCGTCTTCATGTGGGCCTTGAGCGCCCTGCTCTGGTGGAAGCTCTGACCGCAGGCGGGACAGAGGTAGGTCTGAGCGTGGACGCCATCCCCGGCCTGGTCGGGGTGCACGCTGAGGAGGTGGCGGCGGACGGCGTTCCTCTCTACGGCCGAGTACTCACACAAGGGGCAGCGGTGGGTCTTGTCGCCGGCCTCTCGGAGCCGGTGTATGCGCAACTTGCTCTTGCTGGTGAAGAAGCGCTGGCAGGTGGGGCACTGGAGGCCGGGGTCGGGGAAGTGGAGGCGCAGGTGCTCCTGCAGGTGGGAGCGCATCTTGAAGCAGCGTCGGCACTTTGGGCAGGTGTGGGTGCGGAACGTGGCCTCCGATCCTTCGGCAAGGTACTCTGATGGACGAGAGCAGAACGGTAAGAAGGCGTTTGTTCAGAAGAATAAAGAAGGTGCCGGCAAACCTTTGGATGGGACGGGTCCAGCGTCCACAGCTGAAGAGCTTTCTTGTTCTGCTTCCTTTCTCTGATGTGTTGGGTCATCCCCATGCTTCCCAAGCTCTTCTTCCAATCTATCTTGTGGCAAAATTGGTGTGGATTTTGGTTTTCTAGTTTCTCCTGAGGAAATCTGAGTCAGGTGCCCTCCCTTAGTGCCCAGTGTAGACGCCTTCCCTATGAACAATGTGAAACACACATGAAAAATACCTCACGTAGACACATCTACCACCCCTTGTTTTTTCACATGAATTCCCCCATCGTCTGTTTACCTTGACAATCATTTGGCTGATGGTTGTGCAACAAAAGGTGAGCATTTAGGTCTTTTGCATTTTGAGTGACAAAGGGGCAGTGGAAACATCCAAATGGCATGTGGCTCCTCCGATGGCTTTCCATCTCTCCTCGTGTATGAAAGGACAGCTTACAGGGCTGGTAGGTGCAGGTCACAAGACGCAGGCCGTGCACGGACGCCAAGTGGGCTTGATACAGCTGGCGCTCTGTGCTGCTGAACTGACAGCTGTGCTCAGAGCAGGAGAACGGGCCTTTGGGCTCCAAATAACTGTGGTTAGTTTTAAAATGGTGTCTCAGAGCAGCCGGCTTAGAAAATACGTCACTGCACTGAGAACACTTGTAACCATCGACCTGCCCTTTCTCAGCCGAAACTGATTGCCTCTTTGAACAGCGATGTGAGGCCAACGTTGTACTGTCTGATAAGCTGGGTCCACTTTCCTCCTCCATTGTGCCTGGAAAATGGGGCAAAAACATAGAATAAATAAGGGCTCCTTTAAGCACATATTTCAAACAAATATTCTATAATGTAACTTCATAGCAATATGTAATACATCAGATGACAGATTTAATTTTTTTATTATAAAGTTTTTTTTATTTAAGTTGCTATTGAGCTGCAGTATACCAGATTATACACATTTTTGTCTTCGTAAAACCAGCGGATTATAGATTGAACAAACATATCAGTAAAGTAAAAAATGTAAAATGAATATAGAGACAGTTCATACTATTTGATATTGATAAAAGACACAAATTCAATAAAAACAGAAAGATATTTTGGAACTGAACATACCGCCTGTGTGTTCACTGTGTCTAAACAAAACATCAAGAGGCAGTTGTTTCACCGTCTGGCTGTTCCGTCTAATTCTTAAATCTATATTAAGCGCTTGTAACTAAAGCATAGATATTCACATTTTTACAATAAGCGAAAAGCGCAAAATTTTCGCACAATGGTGATATCGAGCTCATAATAACATCAGTAACCAGAAAAAGTCGTGCTTAAGACCGCTTCCTTTCTGGTAGCTTAGCAAATGTGAGTTAGCTTCTTGTGATTTTCTCTGTGGAGTGCTTTTGTCAGTTCCGGATAATTTATTATCATTTATTTGCGGTACAAACTATTAAAATTAGAAAGTCAAAAATACAATTTCCTCAGAGCATTTATTCAACAAAGTTTGAATTTTGAATCTTAACTTGAGAGAAGGGGAACAGGCGCTCTCGAGCACTGTGATATCGTCGGAATGTTTTTCTTCAAACACAGGAAGTGTTGCAGAGGTCGCTCGTGCCTGCCGATTCTACCACAACGTTACGTCCACACATCATGCTGATTCTTGCTGTCACGAGCCTGTCATTCGTGTTCAGAGCGTTTTTTACAATACCAATGGGTAACTGAGTTAGGCTTAAATGAAGGAAGAGAGTATATTTAAGAGTAATAGACATTATGTGACGTTAAATAAAGTTTCGTTGATAGTTGGCAACACGTATCGTTTAATTATAGGATTAGCAAAGTCTCCAGCTGAGGAGGGTGGCCGTTATCCTTCATTTGGGAAAGGACTGGAATAAATATAGGATTTTTCCCGTCAAAGGGCAACAGCGACTGGGCTTTAAAGGAATACACGCTTCTGCACGATGCCCCTGTCAGACTTTCTGGACGGCCTGAAGGACAATCCCTACTTCGGGGCTGGTTTTGGTCTGGTCGGCGTCGGGACGGCTTTGGCCGTGGCCAGGAAAGGCGCCCAGGTGGGGATGATCTTCTTCCGCCGGCACTACATGATCACCCTGGAGGTGGCCAGCAAAGACAAGAGCTACCACTGGCTGCTCAGCTGGATCACCAAGCACGCCAGGCACACGCAGCACCTCAGCGTCAAGACCTCCTACCTGGCGCACGAGAGCGGGCGCGTGCACACGCAGTTTGACTTTCACCCCAGCCCTGGAAACCACATCATCTGGTCAGCAAAATCCCCCCCTCCAGTGGCACCAAAAAGCGCATTGCATGCACAAAAATGCATTCTTATATATTGTATTCTTATTGTATTCTTATAATTCTGATGTCCCTCATAGGTATGGGAGGAAATGGATAAGGGTTGAGAGGACCAGAGAGAAGCAGATGATAGATCTTCATACTGGAACTCCATGGGAGTCCGTTACTTTCACGGCTCTGGGCAGAGACAGACAAATCTTCTTTAACATCTTACAAGAAGGTACACACCAAACAGAGCGGTCCGATTGAAACACGGGCCTTTTTTGTGAGTTGGTTCCGCTGCTCTTCTCTGGTCACTCAGTGCCGGTTTCTTTCCTGTTTTGCAGCGAGGGAGCTGGCCCTGAAGCAGGAGGAAGGGAGAACGGTGATGTACACGGCCATGGGGGCAGAGTGGAGGCCCTTTGGGTTTCCGCGGCGGCGGAGGCCTCTGAGCTCGGTGGTTCTGGAGGCCGGCGTGGCCGAAAGGCTCGTCGATGACGTGAAGGACTTCATTGGAAACCCCAAATGGTACACAGATCGAGGTAAAACCTCACTTTGTCACACTGGACAACGATTGGAGAGCTGAACTGCCTTAAGTGATAATTCTAGCCCTGTTACGTAACGATAAGTGTCTTAAAGTAGTGCAAGGCACTACTTTCCCCCTCTGTAAATTCTAACTAAATTATTGACATTATCACTATCACTTATTTTAGATGTATATATATACATAAATTTACTTATGTATATATTTATGTATATTCTGTGTGGAATTTTGTATATATATATATGTATATGCTGTTGTTTTATTTCTGGACTTAGTAACAAAAACAATTTCCCTCTGGAGTTATTAAAGTATTTCTGATTCTGATTCTAATTCTGAATCTAGTTCAAGATATAAAGACAGTGAATAGTTATATCATTTTCAAATAAAAGTTAAATTTGTTTGAGATTTAGCATAGGTGGTTTGATGGCAGTGGGCTAAACATGTGAAACAATCCCTCACTCTTTTAATAACGACAGACTTTTGTTAAATATATAAAGTCAATTTTCAATTAAAGTGTGACGGTTATCTATTAAAAGACGATTGTGTTTGCAGGCATTCCATACAGAAGAGGATATCTGCTGTATGGCCCCCCAGGATGTGGGAAGAGCAGCTTTATGTGAGTGTGATAGCTATCTTGATATGTTGCTTTTTTGCTGTTTTTGTGGAAAAACGTACCAGTTTGTTTTCCGGTTTCACCAAAAACAACAGAGACTAGAATAAATTGGGGCCGGTGTGTGCGTTTTTCAGTACAGCTTTGGCCGGCGAGCTCGGGTACAGCATCTGTCTGATGAGCCTGAGTGACCGCACGCTTTCGGACGACCGCCTGAATCACCTGATGAGCGTGGCGCCGCAGCAGAGCATCATTCTGCTGGAAGACGTGGACGCCGCCTTTGTGAGCCGAGAGCTGCTTCCCACCGAAAGTGAGCAGCACTTCCAAGTCTGTTGGAGCCTTTATCAGCGGATATTTTGGATTTTTTTGCTTGTTTTAAGTTGTCACTTAGTTTTATTCATGTTTAATGAAGCTTTAGATAAGGTGAATATGTCCTATTGAATTAACCTGTGCAGTTGTAATTGCTCTGACACACTCACATCTTTTTATTTAATTTCTATTGGTGGGCAGATTTCAGGTCATTAAGTGTTCTTTGTTTTGATTTTTAGACCCTCTGGCCTTCCAGGGAATGGGAAGACTGACCTTCAGTGGGCTGCTCAACTCGCTGGATGGGGTGGCCTCATCTGAGGCCAGAATCGTTTTTATGACGACCAACTACATAGAAAGGTACCAAAGGAAAATCTATAAGTACAAGATGAAAGAAAAAACAAAGATTCCCGGCTTTTTTCATAAGCTAACACAATTTCTTTGACTTCCTGTGGTCAAAACGCCATAGAAAGAACCAACCAGGAATTTACTGAACGGTTTTTAGAGGCAGGCATTGAAAGCAAGCTAGCACGTAACTCAAATCCAAACCAAAATGAGCCACGTCACCAGCTATGTGGTTTTAATACCACCCTTCTGTAAACTACACGCTTCAGACAAAGGAGTTGGTGAACACTGTTGACAGCGGGCTGCAAAATAGAAAGGAAAGTCAAATTTGAGTGACCGGCCAAACCTTCCATTCTGACCACGCAGTAGCAGGGGCTGTCTTTGTTTTGCTACACAGATTTATACAAATACGTAGTCATTAAAAGCTCTCACCAGCTAAACGGCAGCTCAGTACTCGGTCAAAATGTGCCGCTGGTCCTGCAGCGCACATCCCAGTGGGTCACCTTATTTTCAGCTTTTCAACACGACACTGACAGTTCAGCTTGGCTATGTTTCGGTTTCTGAATTTAGCAGACGCGACTCACAAAGCAGACACAATGTTACAGCTCTCATCAATCTGACAATCTTGTAGCGTTCTTGTAGCGCTTGGTAGGTCGTTCCACTATCTTGGAACAACACCAGAAAACAGTCTGGATTGTCTTAACGTGGTACAACTCTAAATGACAATCCACTGTTGACTGGAGGGGCCGAATTTTGACTTGAGTCTTTGCAAGAGGGTTCAAGTAGACGGGAGCCGGCCCCTTAAGTACTTTGTAGGCCAACATCAGGGCAGCCAGGGGTAACCGGGGGTAACCGGCGGTAACTGGGGGTAACCAGTGAAGCTCAGTGATCAGAGGGGTGACGGGAGACTTTTTGGGCTGATTGAATGGATCATCTGTAATGGTTTTACCTAGTGATGTGTACCTCCATATCGAGGCTTCGAAGCGCGTGTCGAAAAATCGAGGGTTGATTTCTGTGAAGCGCGTATCGGGGCTAGTGTCGATGAGGTGACGTTTGAAGCCTGACCGATTCAGGAAGTGGTTCACGATTTGGCGGTCTATTTGAAATATAAGGGCCAGCAAAATACAATCAATCCCCCCTCACATTTCGTGGACTTGGGACTTATTTACGAGTTTGTTAGCGATCTATTCAAGCTTCCCTGTCATTGTATCATAAAGACAGTATTTATGTATAAGCATCACAAGCATCCATCCGTCCATTATGGTAACCGCTGATCCCCTACTGGATCCTATCCCAGTAGCCAATGGGGAGAGGCAGGGTCACCCTGGACGGCAGCAACACAAACATCGTTGATTAATTCATTCAATGCTTCAGACACCAAAGCCAGAGTCTCATTATAACCACGCTGTACGGTTTACATTTATTGTCCACAAACGAAAACCCATGAAGCTTCAACACACGAGGGAACCAATTGGATGGAACGCTTCAATGCTTTATGAAGCTTCATCTCGCCATCATTAGTTTTACCGTCCAGGCTGGGAGACCAGTCAGGAGTGCGTTGCATTAGTCAAGGCGGGAGATGACCACATACTGCCCCAGGAGCTGGTTAGCATGTTGGGTTTAGGTAGGGCCGGATCTTGTCTTACGGTCTACAGCCCCCTCGTATTCGTTAAGGGGGGAACGCTGCTTTCACGGAACGCCGCTCTGCCCACAGGTTGGACGCGGCGCTCATCCGGCCGGGCCGCGTGGACCTGAAGCAGTACATCGGACACTGCGGCCGCTGGCAGCTGACCCACATGTACCGGCGCTTCTACCCGGAGGAGCCCGCCTCCGAGGGGGAGATCTTCGCAGAGCAGGCTCTATCCGCGCACTCGGAAATCAGCGCCGCGCAGGTGCAGGGACACTTTCTGCTGCACAAGGCCGATCCCGTGGGGGCCATCAAAAATATCGGCCAGCTAAAAGGATGACAAGTCAGAGATCGATTGCTGAATTAAAAGAAGTGTGAAAAACTTTATAGTTCATTCTTTCCACTATGTTGTGCTGTGTGATCTGCTTTGAAGCTGGGAAGTCAAGAGGCTCCAAGAAAGAAATGTGTTTAGTTTTTTGTTAATCTAATTCATCTGCCTGCTAAACAAAAAACTAACACTAAAGTCAAGCCACTGGTAAAATACGTTTCTTGTCATTTCATGTCTTAACTCATCAGTTGAGGCGATCCACTTAGAATCCTTTCCTCGGTTTCAACTGTTTTTGCAGATTCAGTCCATTATTATCTGGCAAATTGCATTTTAGGTCCACCTCAAGATATTATATAAGCAGCAACGAGGCAAGAAAAGCCTGTTTTTCACACGCTCTCGTTTGGGAAACCACGCATTAGCGGAGAGACCTCAACAAAAGCTTCGGTGTCAGGTTTATTAGATTATTGTGAGGACATTTCACTGTAAGTCTAACAGGACTTCCTCTTTACTCAACGGGCCAGCTGTGTTAACAGTCACCCATCCAGAGAAGGTGTCAAAATCTGAAATCTGCCTTCCACATTGTTAAAGTGTCGGAGCTGTTTTAAGTGCCTGATCAAAGAGGGTGAATAATGCAAAGAGGGTTCTTTTTGGCAACAAGTTTTGACAAAGTTTAAGAGCAGGGAAGTAGGGGTTAAAAGTCTTTTGGCCCCTCCCTGCTCCGCGAGTTTTCCTGTATGTAAGATGAGCCCTGTCCATTTCCTCTCCTGCCCTCGTAATGGCTGCATGGCTCTCCTGGAGAGCCCTGCGGAGGATCCGCGGCTGGCCGCTGACCTCCCCCGTGTCCAGCGGCCAGGTCTGGAGCAGGGGCAGGGGGGTGGGGAGGTCCTCTGGCCCGGGGGCTCTGACCGCCGTCCAGGAAAAGCCCCGCTCAACGGAAGAGCTCCCACGGGTCAGCTTCTTGGAACTGCTTTACAGACTGGTGTTCCAGGGCTTCTATGAGCGTCTGCACGAGCTGCAGGTACAGCTTGACCTCCTCAAACTCTGACCAGCTGCTCTGTAACTGAGTGATGCATGTCTGTTTTTCTTTCTTTTTTTTTTTTACACAATTCATTCCAGGAGTGTAGAATCATTTCAAACCATTTTGGGGATTGGGTTGCGCTGCTGATGAATACTTTATTTAATTTAGGTGTTTTTTTTATCACGGCGGTTCCAGTCATTAACATGCATGATTAGGAAAAAAAAAAAAGGGAGAAAAGAGGCCGGTCAGGTAGCATCTTCTCAGTTTACAGAGTGACCATCACATGACAAGAACTTCAACTGAGTCTTAAGGAAGAATTTCTCCTTTTGCAGGAATGGTTTGTATGAAGTGACGTTTGCTTGTTACTTTACTTTTATGTTGTTTTTTTTCTAATTCAAGAGCCTCTGAAATGATTGAGAGAACAGAAGTGATATCATGTTACAGGTGCAGTAAGCTTTTTCCCGTGTTGGTCTTGGAAATTCGTTCTAAACGTTTATGTGTCCAACAGATCTATGAAAAGCAGCTCTATGGGTCAATATACAGAAATGGGCTTAAGTCTGTGTCCGTGAACAGCCCCGAGCTTTTGGAGGAACTCCTGAGGAAGGAAGAGAAGTTTCCCTCCAGAGGAGACATGTCCCTTTGGACAGAGTACCGGGACATCAGGGGACTTGGTTACGGGCCTTTTACAGAGTAAGACAAACCAAGTTCTACGCAATACGCAGCCTCGTTTCTATTTCAGCGACAGGACTTTTAAAGGTCTTACATAACTCCTGGAACTCTGACATGTGGACATTCCACGTAAAGAACATTGTTATTGTGGTGTAAAGGAGGAGTTGAGATTTTCTTAGTTGATAAGAAATGTCTTGGCTGGAATGTGGATGTTGTCTTTTCCTCTTAGGTCGGGTTAAAGAAACATATCCAATACATTTATGATATGTTTTGATTATATAATTTGAAAGATTAATTTAAAATTAAATGTTTGTGGATTCAGATAACGTATTAAAAGACAAGAGGCTCTAACATGTGAACAGGGAAAGAAATATTTTAGACTTTGCTCCATTTCTGAATCTAGAATCCAACTAAATCTGATTAGTGGTATTAGGTATGTTAACTGTACAAAAGTCCAGCTTCTTGTTTGTTTCAACCAATGAACTTACAGTGATTTGTAAGTTTTTAATTCTGAACTGGATTACATCACTTCAAAGATTTTCTTTTTAATGCGACAAGTTATCAGGTTTTTTTTCATTTTTGTGAAACATTGGGTCACATGACATTATATAATTTGACTTTGGGATTAAAAAAAAGTTATTTTTTCATATCATTACATGAAAATGGTCTGGAAATCAGAGCTCAACGTGGTTTTCTGCTCTCAGGGAGGGGGAGCGCTGGTACAATCTGAGGGTGGTGCTTAACAAGCGCATGTTGCATCCCAAAGACTCGGCCCAGTACGCCGGGATTATCAATGACGTGGTCACCGACTTCATCCAGAAGATCTGCTATCTGCGCCAGAGCAGCCCAACGGGAGACTTCGTGACCAACATTGCAAATGAGTTTTATCTATTTTCACTAGAAGGTAGGTAGCAAAAAAAAAAAAGGGATCTAAACATTCAAATCTGAGGAACAGAGCAATACAGGCTTCAGCTCCCTGGCTCTGGTTAGTCTTTAGATTTGTCCCTATCTTTTAAAACTGAGATTTTGTCATGCAGGCATTGCCTCCATTTTGTTTGAGACGAGACTCGGGTGTCTGGAAAACAAGATCCCTGCCGGAACACAGGATTTCATTGGTGCCATAGCCCAGATGTTCTCCAACAGCATGGCAGTGGCGATCAGTCCTAAGTGGAGCCGGAAACTGTTGCCTTACTGGGGGCAATACATTGCTGGCTGGGAGGGCATTTTCAGCTTTGGTGAGTTAGATTACTCCAACGATGATTTCAATTTTTGCATGATATATGTTTTTGAGGACAATATAATTTAAAGTTTGTTATAGCATATATAAAGCATGGACTGCCATTTTACTCATTAAAACTTTTAATATTTCCGAAAAACTTCATAAACCTGTTGATAGTTAGAATTTATAGTGTAGTAACCTTTGAGAGAGGGAATTTGATCTCTCACAATGTTAAAGTTTAACTATTTTTACAGGTAGTTTGTCTGTATGAAAGGCCAAATGTCTGTTTTTTTATGTGCACAGCCAGTCTCCACATTCTTCATATTTGTGTGGGAAAAAATCCTTAAAAAAAGCCCTAAAAACTGCCAGTCCATGTAAAAAATTAAAAATAAATCAATGGGTAAAGTTAAGACATGAGCTTAATCTTTGGAAAAAAACAATCAAATCAAGTAGCCCATCAATCAATCTCATTTTGATTAATGTGTGATTTACAAAGTTAGTTAAAATATGTATTTAAATATTTTACATCACAACCCATATTATCATCAACCCATATCAGAGTTTAAATAAATGGAACTGCACTGCTAAGAGTTCTTTGCACAATAGATGTAGGCAATCATCTTTTAATCTAAAGTGGCTACGTTTTAAGGCAAAGAAACCCGCAGAGGTTTGCTAAATAGTCTGAAATTAAATAAATACATCCAAAGCATGTTCCCTGGTTTTACTCACTACATTCAATAATCATTCATTAATGCATTCATGCTCACAGACATGAATTCCAAACATCCAGCAGGTGGTATAAAAGTGATATTTTTTCGTGGATTTCTTTGAATATGTAAATTAACAGCATGAAAAAAAAAAGTTTGATTTTAAACAATTGCATCTGTGTTTATGTGAGTTGTAGCTTTTTCCTTTCTGTCATGGATATGTCATGTTGCTTCATTTATCCAGCTATTTGAGATTACAGAACCTAACAATTTTGTAGAGCATTTTCCTGACCAAACTACCGATAAAAAAACCCATTTTGAACCACATAAAGTTTAGTAAGTTGCTATAGGCAATACTTGATGATAAGAGATCAGATTTGATCCCCAATAACAGCTGAAAATCACATCTTTTATGAAGAAAAAAAGACGCATAACAGTGTATCTTACTCGATAAGGAACAAATATTTAAGCTCTAGCTCTGTGGAGAGTTGATCATAACCAGAGTGCATATGTTATGAGGCCACTGACACCAGCCTCTTCTGTTATGCTCTCTCTCTAGCTAAAAAGCTGATTGACGAGAGGTTGGAAGTCATTCAGCGGCGCGTGAACAACGACCAAGATGTGGGTGGTGAATACCTGACATACCTGCTGTCCAACACACAGATGAGCACTAAAGACGTGTACGCCAGCATAGCCGAGCTTCTCCTGGCCGGGGTGGACACGGTAATGGAAATACTTTACCACAGCCATAATAATACAGCACAAATCTCATCATACATCATACAGTAAACTGTTTGCTTTATTACCAACATTTGTACCACACCACCATTTATTCCAAAGCACCATATCATGCCGTTTGATTTCTGAGAACATCTCATGCTATTTTGTTTATAAATTTAAGGCAGTCTGTACTATTTAAATCAGGGGTCTCTAACTCAAGCCGCAGTCCTGCAGGTTTTAGATTTTTTTCCTGCTTCTGTACACCTGATTCGGATTAAATTTAATGTCCTCTTGGGCCGCAGCGTAGCCTAATGGCTGGAGCGGGCGGCCCATATGCGGAGCCTCCGTGCGGGTGTCCTGGGTTCGATTCCAGCCCATGGCCCTTTCCTGCAGGTCTCCCCCTCTCTATCTCTGCCCCCTTTCCTGTCAAGCTACTGTCATTAAAAGGCCACTAGAGCCAAAAAAATCTAAAAAAAAAAAAAAAAAAAAAAAAATGTAATGTCCTCTGGACATTGCTGGAGTAGCCTCTGGCTGCAGTCTGTAGGACGCGTCGGTTGGATGTCAAACTTCCCCCACATCCAAGTCGGCCATTTTGATTAAAGGTCATATGACTAGCAGCTTTCTCAGGAGGAAACAAAACTTTACTGTCAATATGAAATCGGAAAACAAATGATTTCCTATCCCTAACCCTAACCCTGACCCTAAACCTAATCCTAACCCTAACCCTAACCCTCCACCCTTCATAATTGTGAGAAATAAATATTTTTGGGTTAAACTTGTTTGGACTTATTGTACAAACTTATTTAACATACAATATTCTAAGCTAATATTATGTTTTGAGTTTAATTCAGTGTTTGCAAGATTCATTTCACTATTTTTAAATTACTGTCTATATTGCTATGAAGCAATTACAATTTTCTTGCCTGGGATCTTCCTATTGATGACCTAATCAAAATGGCCGACTTGGATGTGGGCGGAGTTGGATATCCATCCTTGGCTTCCTACAGTACTTGCATTGCTGAGCTTTTCTGATGGCTCTTTGTTGTGAATCAGGTGTGTTGAAACAGGGAAACCTCTAAAACCTGCTGGAAAGTGGCCCTGGAGGACTGGAGTTTAGGACCCCTGATTTAAATTCAAATACAACATAATCTGCTTCTAAAGATCCATGTCTGATTTTTGGATGCACACCTGACATATGGAATGGATCTTAGTCCGTTAGGTCCTTCTTTTGACTGAGATATTTGTCTTTGATCGTGTAGACTTCCAACACCCTGACGTGGGCTTTGTACCAGCTGTCCAAGAACCCTCGCGTCCAGGACAAGCTTTACCAGGAGGTGTCCACGAGCGGGATCTCCCGTCCAGCAGAGGTCACTCGCATGCAGTATTTACGAGCCGTTATCAAGGAAACACTCAGGTTAGACTGGTTAAAGAACCTGCGTTTCATAATGAATAATGACATAAGAATATAGAGGAGGAGATCTTTATGCTCTCCTTTGATTCACTTCTTATTTAACAGAATGTATCCTGTGGTTCCTATGAATGCAAGGATCATAACAGAAAACTCTATTTCTGTTGGAGGATATCAATTCCCCAAAAAAGTGAGTGACCTATTCATGTGTGCTTTTGAAATGAGAATAATCTAAGTTTAATCGTCCAGTACCAGCCTTAAAAGTGAGTGCTATAAATCTAAATGGAATTCTCTATTCTTACGTTACAATATTTGTATTTTGACTTTTGTTTCTACAGACGGCATTCACTTTCTGCCACTATGCAATGAGTTACGATGAGGGGACGTTTCCAGACTCGTCTACATTTAAGCCAGAGAGATGGCTGCGTGACGGCCGGGAGAGGCCCAGCCCCTTCGGCTCCATCCCGTTTGGCTTTGGAGTGAGAGGCTGCGTGGGCCGCCGGATAGCTGAGCTGGAAATGTATTTGGTTCTGTTTCAGGTAGGTCAGAAAAATAAACCAGGAGATGAATCGGAAAAGCATTTTAAAGTTCCGAAATTAAGATCGAGGAAGCCGTTATTTTTCAGAATGAAAGAAGTCAAAGATACTAAAAAATCATGTGAAGATCATGTGATCATATCACATGATCAATTTTTTTGGTATTGAACCATTTAACTAAAAAAATAAAATAGAGAAAAAAATAATATACTGATGCTTTTTTAAAATTCGTATGAATTTTTAGCCTTTGTTAGAGATTTCTTGCCCTAATACTACCTTTTGTGAGTATGGGACACTGAACAGTGGAAAAGAATTAATCTTAAAAATATAATTACTGGAGAGAATAGACACATCTATAACAAGTTTTTACATGTGAGTCTAATGCTGTTTTTTCAGTGTCATTGAGTTGACTTAGTGGGCTCTAAAATTAAATGACTTTGTTAACTCTGAGTTTAATTTCTTTCCCATTCAGCTAATCAGACGATTTGAAATCAAACCAGACCCCACGATGGAGGAGCTGAAAAGCATCAACCGTACGGTCCTGGTTCCTGACAAACAACTGAACCTGCACTTTGTGGACAGAGGAGCTGGAGACGCAGCCTGATCGAATCTATACATGAGTTTGAATAGGTTCAGTATTCAGGGTTTCCTGTGAATGAAGGAGCTGTTTGAAGTTTATTTTATGTATTTACAAAAATGTGACACAGTTTCAGTGCATTTGAAGCAGACTGAAAAAGTAGTTATATATTACAGGCATTTGAAGATATACATACCATGTTTTATTACCAAAATACAACATTATATTAAATAAAAAAACTTTATATTCAATGCCTCGTATCTTTATCACTTAACATGTTTGTGAGGTTGAGATTCCAATGCTGAGATATTATAATATAGTAAATGTCGTTAATTTATAAGTGAGTATGTTGCCTTCTGAGCTTTTAGAGGATTTATGTTCTGCAGAAAGGGGGAGCAGTGAAAAGATGCAAGGGGGGATCAAAACTGATGAATAGAAAGATCCATTTCATTGTTTTTTACAATATACATCCGCACTGTTTTCTGTACCGTTCGATTTGGAATAATGGGATATTATGGAACTCTTTTATCCCCCCTTCTTATACTCCACCACCATCAGCACACACACGGACACGCGTAAAAGGCCTCATGAAACAATGCAAAGTTTAAGAAAGCACTCATTCTATTGTATACGTATCTGAATAAATAATATTGACAATTACCGTATTTTCCGCAATATAAGGTGCACCTAAAAGCCTCCAAATTTATCAAAAATCGACAGTGCGCCTTATATCTGGATCAAGAGCCGGAACAGGTCTCGCGAGAACGGGAAGCAGCCGCCGACCCGATTTTCTCCCGTAGAAGAAGTAGAGCGCGGTGCATGCTGGGATATGTGAATACTCCAAGCATGTATTTTCATTTAAATCCCACTTGAGTGTGTAGAGACCCGGTAATGGCTCCGTTCAAGAGACACGCTTACAACGCGGAGTTTAAACTCAAGGCAGCAGAACACGCAGCAGCACACGGGAACAGAGCGACAGCCAGAGAATTCAACGTGAACGAATCAATGGTGCGGAAGTGGAGGAAGCAACAAGACGACCTGCGCCAAGTAAAGAAAACTAAACTGAGTTTCCGAGGGAACAAGGCGAGGTGGATACAGTTGGAGGACAAACTCGAACAGTGGGTTAATGTGCAGAGAGCAGCGGGTAGAAGTGTCCCGGCAGTCGCTATTCGGATGCAGGCAAAGGTGCTAGCGTGCGAGCTTAACATTCACGAATTTAAAGGGGGTCCTTCTTGGTGCTTCCGGTTTATGAAAAGACGGAATCTCCACAATTTCACACGAGCTTATGTTAAGCAGCGACGGCCAAAAGACCACCAAGAAAACCCGGACACTCTCCGAGCATACAACAAAAACAAGACGACTGAAAACCAGACCCGGCTAGAGCACATTACCACCACCAGGGGCGAGGTTCCGCTCGCCCTCCATGTTCCTGTGGATAAAACTGAAGCACGAGCGGTGAACGTTTGCTCGACAGGGAGAGAGAAGTCCCCCCTCTCCTGCCAGGAAAATGTCCAGAAACCTCCACCCATGGGTATTATCAAGAGGAAGACCGTGCCAAAAGAAAACTCCCCTGCCAGCGTCCTCGTCGTCGAAGCTAACTCGACGGGATGGATGGATGAAGACACGATAAGTGAGTGGTTGAGAGAAATGTACGTCAAGACACAGGGTGGTTAGTGTTTTTTTTTCCATACAGCTCTATCCCTGTTCATCTACGACTCCATGCGCTCCCATGTCAGGGATGGTGTCAAACAACAAGTGACGCTTTGTCCGTCTTATTTTGAAATGGAACTAGTTTGTATTACTACTTCCGTTTGAAGCGGAAACGCATACGTACAACAGAACGAGGATAGTTAAATTTCTTCAGGTTCGTTCTCAACAGGTTTTCTTGTGCGTAGATACACAAAACATCACGTTGTCTGCGTCGCGGGACGTCCAGAATCAACACAGAATTGCTTTTCCCTTTTTCTTTCTATACGTTTAAATCTATACATTTTTTTAAAAATAACTCTAAATATCACTATATGCTGCAAGTACTAGCCGACCACTTCAAATTCATTCTTTGCAAAAATACTCCAAAAACGTAATGCTAATTATGCTAATGCTCAGCTAGCTTGAACGATGTTTGACAGTTCTTGCAAAATTGAAAAATAAATAAATACAAAAGTCATTGTTTATCAGGTGTTGAATAGATGCTTTTTGGCTTGATTGATATAAGTCGAATCATTGTGTTCCCTATTACCTTATAAGATAAAGAAGCTCTGAATTACACAATTACCTAAAATGTGCTATGTTTTTTGACAAATATCCCAATCTTCTCCATCTCAGAAAATGGGCCAGTCACAACGTTTGTTTTCAATTGGAGAGTGGAGGAACCCAAACTGGAAAATGCGCACGTTCATCTGGAGGGCTTTGTAGAAGCCGATCACAACGACTACTGTCAGGGCGCCAACCGAGGAACGGAGTACAGCAAGGAGTGCCTTTACAAAGACTTTCTCCTCACAGACACACAGTGTGTTCTCCACACAGGTCTACCTCGCCCCACCTTTCACCTGCTGGCTGAAAGCCTCTTCCCTTTTTACAGCGGCGGCTCGGAGCTCGACCCCGTCGCCCAGCTTCTGATGACGCTGATGAAACTCAAGCTCAACCTGGCCGACAAATGCCTCGCAGACCAGTTTGCCACGTGTCAGAGCAGCGTAACCGGCACACTCGTGCACTGGATGGACCTGATGGAGACTCATCTGAGGAGCTTCGTTCCATGGCTGCGGAAGGAGACGGTGGTAAAGACGATGCCCCGGTTTTTCAGAGAACACTATCCCGGCACAACCTGCGTTATTGACTATTCAGAGATCCATCTTCACCATCAGCAAAGCCTTGACTTTAGGGAAGGATCCCGCGGGCTCCACCGGGGACAGAAGACAATGAGGTTCATGGTGGCCGTGGCACCGTGTGGATTGATCACCTTCGTTTCGCCGGCATACGGAGGACGATGCAGCGACACGTTCATCCTCTCCGAATCGGGGTTTCTGGAGAACCTCCATCCAGGTGATGAGGTCATGACTTTTGGGGGCTTCAGGATAGCCGAGGCGCTGGGCGAGAGGGGGGTCAGGCTGGTCGTCCCGGCCCACACGGACGGGGACTTTCGGCTTTCAGGGAGCGGCGCTCAGAGCAGAAGCTTTGCTGCAGTCAGGACGCTGAAACGTTTCAAAATACTGTCGGAGACTATGCCAATAAGCCTCGTCTCCATGATGGATAAGATCCTCCGAATCTGTGCTGCTCTCTGTAACTTACAAGGGGAGAGTCTTCATGAAGAGTAAGATTGTGACAGAGAAAGAGGGTTCACATTCCACCAAAGACTTCTGATGATCTGACGTATCATTCAAGAAAATCAATTGTTGGCATTTCTCTTTTTTTTACTTCCAGCTATCTGAGTTTTTTAATGTAATTTGAATATCGTCTGGTTTCTCTTCCCTATGAACATGTTTTGGACTTTTTAAAAAATAAGAAATGACAAAGCATAAATGCAGGTAATTTTGGAAAAAGCTGAGTTCTGCTTTGACTACTTTCTAACGTTGTGCGACATGAGTTGACATATAGTCAGGTTTGGAGTATTTGTTTATGCAAGTTTAGTTTTTATAAAAATGCAATAAAAGAGTCACTACATTTGTTGTTAGTTTTTTTCTGCTCCGGCACCTACTTTAGTATATGCAATCAAGTTCACAAACACTTTAAGACAACAAAAAGGTGGATTAATTATGTAAAAATTTAGATTTAATTACCTCATAAGAAATGTAACTACCGTATTTGACGGTGTATGTATGTATTTTGTCCCCTCTGACTCTCCGTACAGTTGTAAAGTCACTGAAACTACAAATGGGGGGTGAAAATGCCAAAGCTCCGACTTGGTTGTGTAACCACACTGTTTCCCCTGTCCCAGCAGGGGGAGGCATCATAACAAAAAAAACTTGGACAGATTTTTTCTTTCTTTTTTTTTTTTTTACATCGATCTGGACAAACAATCCCCCTTTTGATATGGGGAAGAAAAGCTGAAAAAGAGAACAAGATACGAGCCCTGGCCAGACACGTACGTAGATTTAACTCCATACTGGACAAACTGGTGTGTAAAAAATAGCAAAACAATAACAAACATCTTCCTTTACAGCGATGAGACCAAAGTAAACGGAGAAGAACGCATTTAGTTTGAATTATAATCAGCTAATTAGCTCACGTGAGGCTGAAACCGGGCACGAGCGCCTGTAGTTGGGAGCTTTTAGTTTTAGTCTGAAACTAAACGACGAGGCCATCGTAAAGGTGTCCGACTATAAAAAAGCAAGAGCTCAACCCCACGGACGTGAAGTTCCGCACGCGGCGCGTGCCTCAGTCTGCGGGAGCGCGCGCACCGGTGCGCTCTCTCTGGCTCCCGTTCTGCGCGCGACAAGTGCGTCAAAAACTCTTTCCCCCTCCTCCCCCCCCTTTTTTAGACGCTGGTTTGCGGGTTCCGTGGCGTGTCCCCGCTGGGAAATGAGCTTCTGACCGCCGTCCCCCCGCGAGGCTGGAGGGGGGGGCCCGCACGCGGAGAGTGCGCACGGACGGACGCGCGCGCGCCCCGCCGGCTCCGCTCGGATGGGATGCACGGTGAGCTTCATCTGCTGCGAGGAGGACTTTTTGCAAATGCCAGTCTACCGAGATGAGGACGAAAAAGAGAAAGGGAGCCCGAGAAAGGTAAGAAAAAACGCACGGGTGGAAGAAAAAAAAAGGGGTGAAAAAAGCGTGCAGTCACGAGTGGGCCAGTTAGTTCACATGAGCCTGACTGATTTATTTAGTTCTTTTTTTTTGTTTAATTGAAAGTTAAACACGTTTGTATCCCGTATATAACCATCAGACTATCATTATGGGACACATCCAATAAGAGTTTCTGACCTTTGGCTAAAGGAACCTTCCCTCATCCCGATAACCAACAACAGTTACTATGTAGAAATCATGGCAACAGAGCCACAGGTCGTTAAAAACAACCCTCAGCCCATTCATTCTGAGTCTTCATACCTTCTTTCACAATAGCCATTCACTGCTTGTTTGTTGGAATGAGGTAAAGCATTCACCAAAATCAATGTCAAGGCCAATTGGAAAAAGCCCATGCTCCCCTTGTCTTCAGTTTATGATTTAAAGAACCAAGGAGGTGATGAATATTTCTTTTTTTCTATTCCGATAGCTGTTAAATGTAGCACAATAGTTCCTCGCCTCCCTTTTTTCTGGGCATAGCCCGAGATGGCAGACACATTAGGGCCTAATCAAAGCTACTTTTGGTACTCTGAGTTATGGAACCTGGTCCTGATGTGGACCAGATGTGGCTCGGTCTGAATGGGGTTTCTTCATAGGCCCCATGTGGCTCAAAAAAAAAAAAAGCTGGCTTCGGTCATGGCAACAACGGACGTCAGCGGTGTTGTTTTAGTCAAAGGTGCAAATAAGATGC